TTCGAGAAATTGAGCTCGCATGGCGTAATGGCAACGCGTCTGACTTCTAATCAGAAGATTCTGGGTTCGACCCCCAGTGTGAGTGCTTACTTTCTTTTTTGAAAGTCATATATTGCAGTATATTTGGAAGGTGATGGGCAATTTTTTTTTCTCATTTTTAATATACATTTAACATATTTACCTAATTATAATTTATTTCAAAGTACAAATTCAACATCTGAAATCTACAATAACATTTCAGAATATAATTTGGCAATACGTTTCCAACAATGTCACAAAATGCTTTTGACCAAAAGAAGGCCAGTATTCTCGATGAGATCAATTCGCCACAACCAGATTTGTCCCCAAAAGGTTCAATCGACGAATTATGTATACCTATTATGGAGTTAATTAATTCCCATAAAGATATGGTCACAACTTCTTCCTGTAGTGGTAGAGTTAGTGTGTTCGTTGAGGGAACCAAACATTACAACGAAGAAATAAAAGTAGGCGGTAAGGGTCAAGGTGGACGTTGGTTGTTTGTATCCCATGATGAGACAAATGTTGTTGGTTGGTTAGATAGATTGGAACAAGATTCGATGGCTGAGAATATTATTGTAAATATAGGTAATGTTGAAGATGTTTCCAAATTTGATGGTAGTCATAGATATATTTTATACAAATACGAACCTTTTATTTTACATGTTAAATGTCGTGATTTTGACGTTGCTTCGAAGTTATATAACACAGCAATGGATTGTGGTTTTCGCGAAAGTGGTATTGGATCCAATAATTTAGTAGCTATTAGAATTAACATTAAATTAGATGTTCCTATTGGTTATCTTGATGAAACATCTAATCAGCTGATATTGTTTGTAACAGAGCAATACATTAAACTGTTAGATAATATAACCTTAGCTAAATTCAATGATAATGCAAAGAAAATAAACCAACTTTTTAATAAGATTGAGCACGATATAATAAAAGACAGTGGCATCGGAAGTACGATGGAAAAGAAATTAACGGAAACAAAGGAGGAAAGAAGGCAAAGAAAGAGAAGAGAAGGTCTTGAAAGGCAGGAATTATTAAACCAAGCAAACAATAACGACTTGTAGTTACTTAGAGTATTTTTACTATCGTTTTAAGTTTTATTTTTTGTTGTCTAAATACAATATTATGTCATATCTTATGTAAATTTATTATCCTATTTAAAAGTCATATAATAAGGAATACAAATAATTCTCCGATTGTAACGGAAACCGTCAAGAACATTCGCATGTAGTGTTACAACTCTTCAAATTGGGGAGACAATTATCTTTTTAATCATCATCGTTATCATGCATTAATGCGCTAAATCTATTTGTCTGAGCAGGTTGACTCTTCGGTTCTTCCTTAGGGACGTTCCCTCCTTTACTATATCTAGTAGATGTTGTTCTTGTGGAGGTAAAGCTGTCCCTTGGTGCATCTCTTCTACGACTAGTACTACCATACTGGTGTTGTCTTGAATAATTATTGTTGTTATGGTATGAGCCCCCAGTACTACGCCTTTGAGGTGGCCCTCTTGAATTTTTTAATTGACGGGCAATTTCTTCCTCACGATGAATTTCTTGGATAGTCTTTGGTCCTGCATTCTTCTTTTCACTATTCCAATTCTTGTTTTCTCTTAACTCCTTAATATCTATCATCTTAAATTTGATTCTACTTGACACTTTATCTTCATTAATAATATTGGACATTAGGCCAAATAGACTATCTAGTAGTACCGAACCTTCCAGTGTACCTTTACCGACATTGAACGAATCATCTTCAAATTGTTCACCAACAGTACTTAGCAGTTCTATTACAGACTCTAGTACCTCTTCTGATGGATTATCTGTCAAATCTTTCATTAATCTACGGAAACATTCGAACATCATCTTTCCTGATAAGAGATTTAGACGGTATAAGAAACCAATAAAACGCACAAGACCTAACCCTCTTCTTTTAGCGGTTGCCATTTCGTAGTATTCATCAGACATCATTTCAGGAGCTAATGGAGATCCATCCTCATTTGTTGGCAACTTATCAATCCAACCCTTTTCGAACTCAGTATGACATATATCCACCAAGTAATGCAATATTAACTTTGGGCCTGATTTACCTTCTTGATTTTCATCGATGATTCCTTCGTCTAGTTCCTTTACCAACTTACCACATAATTGTGCATACATAGATGACCAATATGGTTCATCAGTGGCCTTGTTGAATATTTGTGTAATAACATTTTGAAGTGTCGTGCCATCCGATTCCCATTTGGATAAATTACCAATGGCTAGAATGTCAGCAGAGATTGTGTCAAATTTCTCTAAAGTTAGCTTATTTAATAGGGATTTCATTCTGCTGACAACTTCATCAGGTGTCAATAACTCAGTAACACCATCAGGCGCAAATTTCTTTTCGGTCTTCTTTTGCCTAGATTTTGGAACCCATCTGTTAGCGGTTGGAACTAGTGGAGCAACATCCTCCTTTGGTTTCTCAGGTTGTTGGTGTGCGTCACGATTATTAATCATAGCTGCTCTTTCACGATCTCTACGAGATGTGTATGTTGTCCTATTAGATCTTCTATCGTCGAACCTCTTTGATTGTCTTCTAGAGGAATCACGAGAACTCGTCATTCTATCATCAGCATTTCGCCCTGATGGATTTCTTCTGGAATTATCTCTACCTTTAAAACGGTTGTTGTTACTGACGGGGATAACAATTTTCGACCTTGTCGATGAAATCCACTCTGGATCAACCTTTACTCTAATCTTATCTTTAAATTGAAGTAAGAAAAGTGGCCCATATGTGTATTTGATGTGTTCTTTTTTATACTGGCTTTCAGATGCTGTAAATGGTTCAGGGTATGCAAATTGGTAAATATCCTCGATCGCTGGTACCTCTTTTAATCTTTGCAGCATTTGTGACATACTCAACCTCTCACTATCGTCATCTACGCCAAGAGATATATCCTCATTACTTAGGCCAGTAGCATCTGTTTTCTCTTTGGTTACTTCGACCTCTTCGTCGAGTTCATTCTGTTCAACATCTGATCCAGGGGATGGGGTCTCAATTTGTACATGCTTATCAGTCGTGGGTGGTTGTTCCTCATGAAGATTTTTGGAAATTTCAAAATTGTGTTCCTCTTCTCCTTCAGCTAGAGATTTTTCGTCTATCTCGACAGCTTTTTCTATTTCATCTGCTGATTTGATTGCATTTTTGATTTCTGTCTTTAAGAAGGTTTCTGCTTTATTTTCTGTTGTAGTGGACCTTGGTGGCATATTTTTAGCGTCCAAAGCCAACTTACGCAGTCTAACTTGTTCCAAAAACATTTTTTTATTCCTCTCAGCTTCTGTCTCTTTCTCTTTGACAGTTTCTTTCTCGTCACTTTCGTCAGGGCTGCCTTCTACACTGTTAGGAAACGTGTGAGCTTCATTTTCTCTGTCTAATTTATTCTTATGACTATCGTCATCTTGGTGGGCATTTCCCTCATGGATTTTCTTCAGATTTAGTAATTCACCTGTCTTTGTTGTGATTTCGATCTTAGTACGTGGTTTTTCTTTTTTATCTTTTTCATTTTCTATGCTATCTGTGGAAACATCACTAGATGGGGAAGTGTCCTTATTCATTAATTCCCTACGACTTTGGTTCTGATCTTGGGGGACATATTGATTAGGGTCCATGTACATAACACCATTCATCATTGCCATTTGTTGAGGAACATAGTACATTGGTTGCATATAATAGTTATTCCAACCCATATTTGCAGATGGGACTGTTCCATTTTGTTGATTGTAACTAACTGAATTCCTATTATAACCATTCACGCCATTATTATAGAATGATCCATTACTGTTAATATACCTATTTCCTTTTTGTTGAGATGCACGGTTATTGTTGTAACCGGATGAATTGCCATTGTACGAATTTCGGTTATTATTATAATTAGAGCCATTATTATAACGGTTGTTATAGTTATTGGATCTTTCTGTCTTGTTATATATTGGCTTAGTATATACCTTTTTGGACTCTTTATCTTGTGGTGATGATGATGTGTTTGAAGTCTGAGGAGATAAATTATCGTTTACTTTATTTTCCTTTGTCTCAGGTCGATTAGTTACCTCTGTCTGAGGCTGTTCATTATCAGACATTTGTACAACTTAATATTTGGGACTTCCACTAATCTAATCAAAACAATATGGTTTATTTAGGTCCGTTTTTGTTCTCGAATGATATGAATCAAAATATTTTTCAGTTACCCTTAAAGTTTAATATTATAAATATATTCAAAAATTCCCTGTAGGAAATTATAATAATTTTATAGAGTTTGAATATCTTTTGGGTTAAGAACAAAAATCAAAAATCTTTGAAGTTTTATAAATTAATATTGTTAACCTAAAATTCATGTCTCTTTCCAATAAAATTTTAAATCTTTTCCTTAATGCTGTCAACTGATAAAATTTGTTACAGGTAACGAAATTCGTATTGTCGCGGTTGTTTTCCAGTTCTCGTGTACCTTTCAGAGGAGCGCGATAGAGACGACAGACTAACAACCAACAAGGAGACAATAGGTGTTTCGTCTAAAGTGAGGCAAGTACCAGATCCAACAAGTGACTAAAGATATTTTGATTTAATGGTTAATAGCCTCCAAAAGTTCTAATTTCAAGTTGTGGTAGTTGAGTATACATATTTTTATTGTCAACTAGATATATTTATTACAACAGATACAAAAGGTATTGACATGGTTCATTAAACTGAGCTGTTATATATGGGTCGTAAACAAAAGGAACAAACTAAAAGCTTCAAAACTTTTGCCATTCTCTAAATGAACGTTACTATGAATGTATTTGGTTATAGAGATTAAAAACTATATATATAATTAAATCTATTCCACTACTTGAACAATTTGGCCTCAGAGATTGCAGTTTCTTGGTTCTTGTTCATGACCTTACCAACTGCCAATTCAAAATCCTCTTGAGTGACATGTATTCTTCTCTCTCTTAAAGCATACATACCAGCTTCGGTACATACACCTTTGACATCTGCACCTGAACAACCATTCATTTTCTCTGCGATTTTCCTTAAGTTGATACCACGCGTCAAGTTCATCTTTCTTGAATGAATTCTTAAAATTTCAGTTCTAGCAGCTACAGTTGGAGGTGGGAATTCAATCTTTCTATCTATTCTACCAGGCCTTAGTAATGCAGGATCTAGGATATCTAGTCTATTTGTAGCCATAATGATCTTAATATTCTTAGATGTTTCAAACCCATCTAACTGATTTAGTAATTCCAACATGGTTCTTTGCACTTCAGAATCACCACCACCAGATCCTTCAACACGACTGGACCCAATAGAATCGATTTCATCCATGAATATGATAGAAGGTGCATGTTCCCTAGCCATCACGAATAATTCACGGACCATACGTGAACCTTCACCAATATATTTTTGTACTAACTCGGCACCACTTACTCTGATAAATTTACAATCGGTGTGGTGTGCTACAGCTCTTGCCAGTAATGTCTTACCTGTACCGGGAGGACCATACAATATGACACCCTTTGGTTGAGCGATACCCAGACTCTCGAATAATTCAGGATGCTTTACGGGTAATTCAATAACTTCCTTAATCTCCTTGATCTGTTTAGTTAGACCACCAACCATATCATATGTAGAATCTGGAACTTTTTCTACCATCATAAGAGACACTAATGGATCTGCCTTGTTCTCAAGAATCTTATGTAGCATATATGAGTCGCTCTTTAAACAGACTCTCTGTGATACTTTCAGGTCTTTGACATTGATATCCTTTGCAACATCGACAATATATTTACCTTCGGGTTGTACTTTTACTAGTACCTTCTTGTCAGAAACTACTTTTAGAACCTCACCGACATAAGAACCAGGCTCTTGCAATAAACGTAGCTCATCCTTAATGAAACGAACTCTATCGTTTAGCGCATTTCTTTGGGCTTCTAATCTTCTCACATTGTCGGTCTTTGCTCTAATCTTTAATTCTGTCTCTTGAATCTTTTGTTCGAAATATGGTTTGATACCACTTTCATGGGAGAGTAAGTTGTTCTCTTGTACTTGTGTTGATGCAACTCCAGAAGACATAATGTATCAGCACGATGGTTCAAAAACAATTAAATTGTAGACACTTCAAAGTCTAAATGTGGTTATATCACTTTCCTTGTCAACGAATATAAGCTGTTTTTATAACTTTCTAGCGTATTGTCCTAATATAACCAAAATAAATTGTATTTCGGTTAATTTATTTTGCCACTGTGTTCCGCAGAATAGAGTCCTGTCTGCCCTCGCTCATTTTTGTCGAGTTGGAATTTCATGAAGCGAACAAAGAAAAAGGGAAGACTAAGATAATGGAAGTGAATATGTGATTTAAGACCAACTGACTTATATGTAAAATAGAATCAGGATCATTTTAGAGCAGGAAGTTACCATATATATATTTAAAACACTCTTTGTTTTAAATATCAAAAGTAATAAAATTGTTTTATGGCATTTTTTCAACCGATCAGCCTCGCTAAAAACTAGATATACTACCAATTATGAAGACAATTTTTGTAACATGTGGTGCTACGGTTCCATTTCCTGATCTAATAAACTCTGTCCTCAGTAGTGAATTTATTAAATGTGCTGTGGAAAATGGGTTTACACGAATAATATCACAAATTGGTAATGGTTATACGGATGTTTTAGCTGAACAAGTGACAAAATTAAATACAGTGGGCGATTATATGTGTCACATTACAGCAGAGGAGTTAGGTTGTAAATCTATAGCTTGTTCATTTAAACTCGAATCGAACGGTTTACAATTTATTGCTATTGAATATTCTTCCAAAATTGAAGAATTAATTTCAAAGAATGCAGACCTAGTGATATCTCATGCCGGTACTGGTTCCATTTTAGACTCACTAAGGCTAAGCAAACCTTTGATTGTTTGTGTTAACGATAACTTAATGGACAACCATCAGCAACAAATTGCGGATAAATTTGAAAGTTTAGGATATATTATTTCATGTAGAGCTACACCCTCATCCCTCATAAATGGCCTTGTCTCCATACAGGGTACAACCCTTAAGCAATTTCCAGGATCACGTAATATTACATTTGAATATAAACTAGTCGAAACATCATATTCTCTTTGAGACGGAGCATCCATATATAAAAACATAAGTAGTTAGGTAGTAAAAAGACAATCAAAGCGTTTATTGCATTTTATAATTGCATTGTAAGTCAAGGTATCATTACTTATTCGATATAAATATGTATATATATGATATTAGTACAATTGTGTGTATAAGATGAAGAGATGAAACATTTTTTATTACACTTTTGTTTCATTTGGAATATCGAATGGCAAGCAGGCTTTTAATTTTCTAGTTGTCTTCTATTTATTTTCTTGATACTTTAATCATCATAATTTTCATCCTCTTCAACTTGTCTAGCGACACTTTCTCTTGCTTGTTCGGAACTCTTATCATCGGTAGAATTGGAACTGGTATTATCCTTGGCGGTGGCATCCTTTTCGGAATCACCAGATGGGCCATTAGTACTGTTTCTTTCATGTTCTTCTTCTTCTCTAATTCTGGCCTCTTCCGCCAAGGCTTCCATGGCCTCGGCTGATGGCTTAATAACAGTTTCTTCAGCAAGTTCCGATGATAGTTCTTTGTTATTTTGATCTCCTACTTTTTTCTCAGTTTCGGTCGTAGGTTCAGCTGTTTCTACCGTTTCAGTTGTTCCTTCAGTGTTTTCCGTTTCTTTAGGTTTGGTATCGGCATCAGTAGAGGCTTCAACTGTAGCCTCTTCAGCAACTTTATTTGGTTCCTCTGTTGCTGGTATTGGTTCCACAGTAACAACATCTGTCGTAGATTCTACAGTAGTCTCAGTCACTGTGGTAGGTTCTGGAGTAGCGCCATTCTCTTTTACCGGTTCAGTTGTGCTACCTCCACTGGTCACAGATTCGACTAGTGTTGAAGGTTGCTGTTCGGCTGTAGGAACAGGTGTTGAGTCAGTTGCGGTAGGTGTTGGGTCAGTTAGAGCAGGTGTGGTCTCATGTGGTGGGCTAACGCTGCCATTACCAGCGGTTAGGGAATTATTATCATCTAATTTTTGTTTCTTGGATTCTGGTTCGTCTAATTTTTCTTCCTCTGGACTTTCAGTATTAGCGGTGGTTGAGTCGTTCACAATATTATGGATATTGCTATCGCTTGTTCTTTTTTGGGGTAAAGTCGATGTGGAGATTTCAGTTTGAGTTGCGGTTGTAGCTTCAGGGGCACTGGCTGCAACTTCAGAAGCAATAGCAGAAGCAGGAGCAACTGGAGAATTCATTGTTGATAAGTTCATTGGGTCCTGGTTTTGAACTGTTTCAGTGGTTGTTGCTGGAGTTATTTTTGGAGATTCTGGTTTATTAGTTGAAGTTAACTCTGAAATTGGAGGAATAGAAACTGGAGTTGAAACCTCAGCTGTAGTGTGTGCTAGTTGTATTTGAGGTAATTGAGGTGGTTGACTTTCAGATTTAGTTTTTTCTTCAGCTTCTATTGTTTCTTTATTCTCGGCATTAGCTAAGGCTTTGGAATCGGAGTCAGCTTTGGCTTGTGCTTCTGCCTCTGCTTCTACTAATGCACGAGCATGTATCCTTGTTTGTTCTTCTGCCTGAAGTCTGGCTTGTTCTTCCGCTTGAAGTCTTGCCTGTTCCTCAGCTTGTGCCTGTGCTTGAATTCTTGCCTGTTCCTCAGCTTGTGCTTGTGCTTGAATTCTTGCCTGTTCCTCAGCTTGGGCTTGGGCTTGAATTCTTGCCTGTTCCTCAGCTTGGGCTTGGGCTTGGGCTTGAGCCTGTGCTTGTGCTTGTGCTTGTGCTTGGGCCTGTGCTTGGGCTTGGGCTTGCGCCTGAGCTTGGGCTTCGGCTTGTGCTTGGGCTTGGGCTTGGGCTTGTGCTTGTGCTTGGGCCTGTGCTTGGGCTTGCGCCTGGGCTTGGGCTTGTGCTTGGGCCTGTGCTTGGGCTTGCGCCTGGGCTTGGGCTTGCGCCTGAGCTTGGGCATGAGCTTGGGCCTGGGCTTGTACTTGAGCTTGGAGTCTTGCTTGTTCCTCTGCTTGAGCTCTAGCCTGTGCCTCCGCTTGAGCATGCGCTTGCGCTTGCGCTTGCGCTTGTGCCTCAGCTTGTTGCTGTTGTTGAACCTGGACCTGCTGTAATAATTGGGATTGGTTTTGAATTTGAGGGTTCATTGTTAAAGCGACATTATTTTGGGTTGGTTGCAATAATGGTTGTCCTGGCTGTTGTTGGGGTGTTTGGCCAGGTTGTTGTTGTTGATTCAATGGGCCAGTCGCATACATTGTTGAGTTTGGAGGTCTAACATTTAATGGGTTAGCATTATCTGTTTGTTGCAATGTTGGTTGTAACATAATTGGAACTTGTTCCCCATTTTCATTTTGTTGACCAGTTGCATTAGTATTTGTACCTAATGGCCCTTGTTGTTGACCAGGGATCTGAGGTTGTTGTGGTACTTGTAACTGTTGAGGCACTTGTAATTGTTGAGGTGGATTATTTCCATTTGGACCTTGTTGTTGTGGATTGGATAATTGTTGAGTAAGGGCCTCTAATCTCTTTCTGATGTGGATATTTTCAGGATCTAATCTTGCAGCTTGTTTATAAGCATCTAGTGCATCAGTTAATTGATTGTTACAAGTTTCATATAGAGTCCCTAAATCGTACCAAACTTCACTAATGTAAGGATTCAATCTAATGGCTCTAGTGTAAGCATCCAAAGCATCCCTATATTGAGAAATTTGATAGTAAAGGACACCAATTGAACACCAAAAGATTGGGTTTCTTGAATCTCTATTGACAGCTTGTTGGAATGCATCATAAGCTGCAGTATAATCTGATCTGATCATATGAACTCTACCAAGATGATACCAAGTAGTAGCATCTGATGGATCAACTTCTAATGATTTCAATAGATAATTTAAAGCTTTTTGTGGATCATAGAATTGAACGTTGTTCATACCGTATAAACAACCTAATTGTTGAAGAACCTTAGCATGGTGTTCATTTTGTAATAGGACATGTTCATATGCTTCTCTAGCACCTTGCCATTCATTCATAGATTCTAATACAGAACCTAATTGAAACCAAATATCCCATTCTTGTAAAGGGGCTGGAGGTTGAGATAAGATATATCTAAAACATTCGAGAGCTTGATTCCATTTAGATTGATGTTTATAGATAATACCCAATCTGAAATAAATTTCATTTGCTTTTTCGAAATGTGGATCTAATTCCAATACTTTAGCAAAAGCTTCTTCTGCATAATCTAATGATCCATAACGATCATAAAGAATCCCAATGCCATGCCATAATTTTGGAACATTAGGGTTAGAAGAATGATATAAAGCTTGTTGATAAGCGTTATAAGCTCTTTGGAGATCATCTAACATTAAGTAACAATGACCTAAAGTTGCCCAAACATCAGATAATTCAGGATTTACAGCTAAAGCACGTTCATATAGTTCTGCAGCTCTTTGAAACATGTCACGAGATCTATATAAATCAGCTAATGAAGTTAAAGCTTTAGTTGAAGATTGATTAAATTGTAAAGTAGCATCATAAGCCATAGCTGCACGATCTACATCACCTAATGTTTCAGCTAAAGAAGCAATTGAAAGCCAAGTTTCAGCAGTTGATTGAGCTAAATGATCAATTTGATCATTAGTAGCTGCATTTGCAACTGTACCTGAAGAAGCTGTAGTGGTTACAACTGCACTATTTGTTGCATTTGTAGTATTAGTTTGATTATTATCATTTTCTGGTCCATTTTGAACCATTTGAGGACTTTGTAATTTTACAGCTTGATTTGCAGTAGCTGCAGTAGTCATCTTGAATTCTAAATATGGATATTTAATCAAAGGCCTTTCTGTTTTAATCTGTCGGTTGTCTGTTTCCAAATTTAATAAATACAATGAAAAAAATAAAATAAAATAAAAAGTTAATTAATATTTATATCGTAATTCAATGGAATAATAGTCCGTTTCTTATACCTTTATTTATCTGTTTATTTTGATTTTTCTTACTTCTCAGCTATTATAAATAACAGTTAGCTATACTAAGAATAAATATTAATAAATAAGTTAAAGTGGTATAAAAATTTTAAGACAACGAAAAACAAAATTAATATTGCTTATAGTTTTTGAAATTAAATAAAATTGTTACAACAACAGTTGTTGTTTATTTTCAATTATGTTTTTGCTTGCTTTTTTCCCCCTTCTAAAACTAAGCTCAGAGAACTGAAAAAAAAAAAAAAAAAAAAAAAAATNAATATGTATGTTCAAATTAACTGGAAAACTATAATTAATTTGATTAGAAGAGGACGGATTTAAAAATTCAATCATATTAACAATCAGTCAAACAGAAAAAACAGTTTGTGCTTAACTCTCGTTCAACAGAAATAGAAATTGAACCAGTGCGTTTAGTTTAAAAGAACAATAGTGTGAACGTTCATTATGCAAGTGAAAAGCCAATAATAATACAATGCTTGTGGTATGGATGATATACAGTGAATATATTGGTATTATTATATAAATTACATCACAAAACTTTTTTAAACTTAACAGATAAAATAGATTCTTGTCGTTTCTTATTCTTATTCTTCTGGTACGTAGCAATCTGTGTGTTAAACCAGTGATAGGTGTGTACAGAGAGTAGCTGCAGCAGCGACGGTGGCGGGGAGGTGACGAAGTCCAGGGGAAGGATATATTTGTTTTTTCGTAATTTTCTGTGCGCGTCAGACAGTTTGTTTCGCACAGAACAGAAGAAGGAACGATGCTTTCTTTTCTTTTGTCACAAGAAAATTTTGGAAGCACCAAACGGACACGGAAGAACAAATAATATTTTTCCATTTTTTTTTTCGGGAGGGGGGGAAGGAAGGGAGAGGTGGAAGGCGGCAAAAGCAACACGTTTCTTCTTTAATATGTCATTGGATACGGGATTGCATATTACCCGACTTGAATCACGTGACTGGAATTGAATAAAGTCGGGTAACGTGTTTGTTCGGTTTTTTTTTTTGCTTTGGAACTTCTTGAACTCATTTTTCTATTACTGGATTTCTTTACACTGTGCAAATTAAGAAACAAAGGATTTGGAAATTTATGACAACAGGGCCATATACAGAGAGAGAAATTAATTGACCTTAAATAAGCAAAATCAATGTTAAAGTTGTTGTTGTTGTTTTTTACATTTTAATGAAAGAAACTTTTACACATTGGCTGAACTTATATCTTAAAAAGGAATTCATAATATACTACTAGCAACATTAGTTGGGCTGGGTTTTTTTTTTATCCATTATTTATCTTCAGGTCAAATAAAATTATAATTATACTTTAAATATAAATGTCTCAAAAGAAATTAAATCAAGAAATTGATAAACTTTTGAAAAAGGTTAAAGAAGGTTTAGAAGAATTTGATATTATTTATGATAAATTTCAAATTACAGATCCTCAAAATACTTCATATAGAGAAAAATTAGAAAGTGATTTAAAGAGAGAAATTAAAAAATTACAAAAACATAGAGAACAAATAAAGACATGGATTAGTAAAGAAGATGTTAAAGATAAAGCATCAATTCTATTAGAACACAGACGACTTGTTGAAAATGATATGGAAAGATTTAAAACAATTGAAAAATTAATGAAGACAAAACAATTTTCAAAAGAAGCTTTATCAAACCCTGATATTATATTAGATCCAAGAGACGCTCATAAAAATACTCAAATGCAATTCATACAGGATTCTTTAAATGAGTTACAAAAACAAACTGAAATATATGAAGGTCAATTAGAAGCGAATAATAATGGTGATGGTGATCTTGATGAAGATGATGTTTCATCTGTTGAATTTCAAATTGAAAGACATGAGTTTCATATTGCAAATTTAGAAAATATTTTAAAATTATTACAAAATAATGAGATGGATCCAAAGAAAGTTGATGAATTTCAAGAAGATATTACTTATTATGTTGAAAATAATGATGATCCAGATTTTGTTGAATATGATACATTATATGAAGATATGGGTTGTGAAGTATCTACTAGTGGTGTATCAAAGACAAATAATGATACTGCTAATGTAGATGAATCGGCGGCATCAGCAGCAGCAACAACAGCAGCAACAAGTGGTCCTGCTGCCACTACTACCACTTCAACGGCTACTACCACTACCACTTCAAATGCTAAAATTGGTGAACCAGTATCCTCTATCACTTCAACAGCAAAATCAGAAAAGTCACCAAGAAAGAAGAAGCAAGTATTAAAGGGTTTTACTAGTAATGCATCAACATTAAGTAAACTAGATGCCGATAAAACGAATTCAACTACAAATCTAAATGGTGAATCGCATTTATCTACCGTAGAGTCATCAACATCAACTGTAAAATCTAAAGAAGTGGTAAAGGATCAACTAGAATTGGAATTTCCAAAGGATAGGTCAGAAGAAATTGAAAAACAATTGCAAAAGGATATTGAAAGTAATGATGCTTTCAAAAATCCTTTGTTTAGTGAAGAATTGAAATATTGGTTAAAATCAAAGAGAGCTTTATTGCAACCTCATCAAGATATGCCATCTACAATGCTCCAACAATTAGAATCATCATTATTGAATTGTCCCGATTCATTAGACGCGGATTCTCCATATTTATACAAAAAACCATTATCATTACCTCACCCAACATCCATTTTCTTCCCTAGTGAACCAATTAGATTCACTCATCAAGTTGAAGTTAAACCAATAACAAACAATTCCAGTGATAATGAACCTCAAAGTAAAGCAATTTCGGATACTAAAGATAACACTAATAATAATGATGATAACACTAAAACTAATAATAATAGCAATGTTAATGAAAATAATATCCGTAGATTGAAAAATGCAGAATTACAAGCTAACGATATCTACTCAAACACATCAATGGCAAAAATTTTAACCAAATTCGATCTTGATACTTTATTTTTCATATTTTATCATTATCAAGGTACATATGAACAATTTCTTTCAGCAAGAGAATTACATAGAAATAGAAACTGGGTATTTAATAAAGTGGATCGTTGTTGGTATTACAAAGAAATTGAAAAATTACCTCCAGGAATGAATAGATCTGAAGAAGAATCATGGAGATATTTCGATTACAAAAAGAGTTGGTTATCTAGAAGATGTGGTCCTGGGTTTATCTACAAAGAAGAAGAATTTGAAAAATTATAATTCATTGTCATTTGTAACTAATTATTTATATCCATTTAGCGCTTCCTTAAGGAACATCATGAGTACATAATAATAAGCATTTAATAAAAAAAGCATAAATTGTTATTAATTATTTTTATTTTTCTATTATCAAATCTATTTGTTTGTATCCTAAAATTTGTCTTTACATATGTTTATGTTATTATATGTATAATAATATGATATAAAATTGTCATAACTTCATTACCTTTATTAAGAAAGGAATAATTTTTACAATTCTTGCTTTAAAAATTGTTCACTGAAGTATGTAATTTGTTTGATGTTATAGTCAAACCCATCAATGCCACCATAGTAAGGGTCCTCAATGATGGTATCAAACTTGCCATCGGTGTTCCATTCTCCAAAGAGACATAGTTTAGCTTTTGAATCCTTTGGTTGAACTTTTTTCAAATTTTTCATATTCATTTCGTCCATACCGATGATGTAATCAAATTTATCGAATGTACTGGCCTTAATTTGTTGGCCACGATGATCAATTGGAATACCATATTTTTTGCAAGTCGACACAGTACGACTATCAGGTGTGTTACCAACATGATAATTACTGGTAGCAAAAGAATCAATCACATCGAAACGATCCTCTACATTATTTTGTTTGACTGTATGTTGGAATACTGCTTCAGCCATAGGAGAACGGCAATAGTTACCTAAGCAAATGAATGCAACTGATATTTTTTTATCTTGAGTCATCCTTTGAAGAATTTTCTGGTGTGTGTGTTTTTGGTTTTGCTATTTTCTTGAGAAGGAGAACAGACAAATTATGTAATATTAAAATTCATATGTATTTATATAAGAGTGAGCAGTTGCCTCTGGTACTTTGGAATTAATCATTTATGCTCATTTAGTAATTTTCTCATCTTAGTGCATAATCCAAGACGAAAAGCGTTGTCACGGAGCACTAGGAAATTAATTATCAAATTCTCGAGTGCAAACAGAAAAAAGAAATTAAGTAGTCAAACCATTGATGAGCATTTATTGCTATATCAGGATAATTGGCATCATATACATATTCTCCATTTTCAATATTTCGACACAAGTAATTATACGTAATAATTTATCAAATTGTTGGAAAATGTTATCTGGACTTATATATTAGCTAATTACTTAAGTATTGGTCTAGTTTGTCCCAAAAAGGAAAAACGTGAATTAAATGAGAGTAAGAAAAGAATTTCAGATTAAAATGTTGTAACCTATCTAAGACTTATCCTCTATTCAATTTTTTCTTTTTGAGTGCATAATAACAAAGACCATCTTACGATGTTTGTTTCATTTTAATTTATTGTTTAAATAATTCATTATATTTTAATTTATTTTATCATAGATTGATCTAGAAAGCTGTTCTAATTGGAGAAATTAGATCCTTACCCTTGTAGAAAGTAATGGTCTTTTCAGCTCTAGAGACAACACCTTCTGGAACGAAGTCGAAGTACTTAAAAACTTCTGGGGCCTTACCGGAAGCACCGAATCTGTTTAGACCGAAGGTTTGGTGAGCATATTTCTTCCAACCGAAAGAAGTTAGAACTTCAACGGACATGATTGGAACACCATCTGGTAGAACGGATAGCTTGTATTCTTCTGATTGATGATCGAAAGTGAATTCATCTGGTAGAGAGACAACTCTAGCCTTAATACCCTTGTCAGCCAATATATTAGAAGCTTCGACAGAAATAGAGACTTCAGAACCAGTAGCAACGATGACAATGTCTGGGTTAGCAACATCCTTTAGAACGTAACCACCCTTGGAGGCCTTTTCAATAGAAGAACCTTCCAATTGAGGTAGGTTTTGTCTGGTTAAAGCGATGATACTTGGAGTTGAAGTAGATTCGATGGCAGCCTTGTAAGCAGCAGAGGTTTCATTACCATCAGCTGGTCTCCAAACATGCATGTTTGGTAGAGCTCTGAAGTGAGCTAGAGTTTCGATAGGTTCGTGAGTTGGACCATCTTCACCGACACCAATAGAATCGTGAGTAGCAACCCAAATGACTGGGTGGCCAGATAAAGCAGATAATCTAACGGCACCAGCAGCGTAAGAAACGAAGTTTAAGAAAGTACCGGAGTAAACCTTGTAGTGAGCACCATAAGCGGAGATACCGTTCATGATAGCACCCATAGCATGTTCTCTAATACCGTATCTAATGTATCTACCAGCGTAAGAACCTAATTTTGTAGAAGGTGGTTGGAAATCTTCAGCATTCTTAGCTCTAGTTAAGTTAGATGGAGTTAAATCGGCAGAACCACCCATCAATTCTGGTAATTCAGCACAAAGTTTATCTAGAACCATTTCAGATAATTTTCTAGTGGCGACGGCAGAATCAGCTGGAGTGTAAGTTGGTAAAGATTTTTCCCAACCAGCTGGCAATTTACCTTCTAGTCTTCTCTTCAATTCAGCACCTTCTTCAGGGAATTTTTGTTGGTATTGTTCAAACAATTGATTCCATTTCTTTTCAGCTTCAACACCTGGGTTTAGGATCTTGGCTTGATAGAAATCGTAAACTTCTTGTGGAACAACGAAAGATTTATCTGGGTTGAAACCAAACTTAGTCTTCAATTGTTTAACATCATCGGCCTTCAATGGAGAACCGTGAACAGAGTGATCACCAGCATTTAGAGAACCGAAACCAATGGTAGTCTTCATCTTGATTAAAGTTGGCTTGTTGTGAGACTTCTTACCTTGTGCAATGGCGTTGGCAATGGCATCTAAATCGGTGTTACCGTCTTCAACGTATAAAACTTCCCAACCATAAGCTTCGTATCTCTTAGCGACATCTTCATCGAAGGAGACTTCGGTGTGACCATCAATAGTGATAGAGTTATCATCGTAGATACAGATCAAGTTACCTAATTGTAAATGACCAGCTAGAGAAGAAGCTTCAGAAGAGATACCTTCTTCTAAACAACCGTCACCTAGGAAGACGTAAGTGTAATTATCAGATAAAGTGAAACCTGGCTTGTTGTAAGTAGAAGCTAAGTTAGCTTGAGCAATGGCTAAACCAACAGCGTTAGTGATACCTTGACCTAATGGACCGGTAGTGACTTCGACACCTGGAAGTTCGAATTCAGGATGACCTGGACATTTAGAACCTAATTGTCTGAAACTCTTTAAATCATCGATAGAGAAATCGTAACCAGTTAAATGTAGCATTGAGTAAAGTAAAGCAACAGAATGACCATTTGAAAGAACAAATCTATCTCTGTTGATCCAATCTGGATTCTTTGGGTTCATTCTCATTTGAGAGAATAAAACATGAGCAGCAGGTGCTAGACCTAAAGGAGCACCTGGATGACCAGAGTTAGCTTTGCTAACTTGATCGACGGCTAATAGTCTAATAGTAGAGACTGCTAATCTATCAATATCACCGAAAGACATAGTATGTAGTATAGTTATTTTTTTGTGTGTTTAAAAAAGAAAAGAATAAAAAAAAATTGACGGTTTTTGATTGCCTTTAGTTTTACTTTTCCTTAGTGATGATGATCTATATTAAGAAATAAGATATGTATACAATTAAATTATATAAGGTATATTATATATATGGAAAGAAATATATATGCAATAAAGGGCGTAATAATTAAATGAATGTAAAAATAAATGAAAGATCAATTAAAAGGGAATCCTTTATATATATTTATATGGATTTTTTTTTAAGTATCATTGAATGAAATCAATTTAAAAGAAAAAACTATTAAATTTTTCAATTCAGTAATCACACTTCCCACAAGAGCAAAAAGAAAAAGAAGAAGAAGAGAAAAATGGAAGGCCGAAGTCAGTCCAGCTTGGTTGGCTCAATTTAGTTCAACGTGTATAAGCAAGCAGTTGGTTGAAAAGCAATAGAGCGGGATATTACAGCACAGAGAGAGAGAACACATACCGAAAACCCTAACTTAGTTGACCTGATTAACTGAGAGTAATAAAGAGAGAAGAAGAAAATTATTATTATTATTATTATTAAGCCCACCCATTTCAATTTTACTTTTTTTGCTTGAGCGATAACTAAAAGAAAATAGGGAACCGGGTGTGTGCTCTATTTCTCTGTGCATTTTTGTCTAAACTGACAGCGGGAACCAAATTTTATTTCATCAGTGGAAAACGGAACTTTCACACCGTGCGAGCGCGCACACGGATAGAATTCATTATTATTTCGTCTATTACTCTTTTATGAGTAATAATTGAAAATGAAAAAATGATTTGGGAAGAAACTTTCTATATGTTATAATGCCCGTAGAGAATTACAAATATAACGACAACACCTGTTATATGTTTATATCACGTTAAACGGGGCGGTTCTTTGTTTTATATACGGCGGTGTTATATATGCATGTACGATAAAGATAGTACATGACGGTCGGTATCGCTAGTTACGAGGCTGATTTATATTCTAAGGGTAATCTTCTCATCATTTGAATATTGAATTGGTATGGTGGAACGGAACGGCGGTATGTTTCTTTGCATTTTCCTATGCATTACACCGGATCGGTGATATAAATCATAATACGTGTTTTGCAGGCGGACATTTGATTTGACTTAACAGTTTGCGATAAATTGGGATTAAAAAATTTTGGGATAGAAATGATAGAGGCATTTTTCTTTGTTTCTTATTAATCTTTCTTAATAACCGCTCATGTATTTTAAGTGTCAATATCATGCTCTATTATTACTTTATTATGCTCGTTGTATTTGATGTAGCTGGTACAACCCCCGTTCTCCATTGGGAAGATAGGGAACCACCTCATAGTTCTATATGTTCCTAAATTAATAATAAATACAGATATGAAATAGCATTTGTTGTTCCTGACGTTATTTTTCTGTTTTTTTGATATGTTATTGCTTGTGTTTAATTACTAATATTATTATTAAGAAATAGGGTGTTTGGTTACATATATATATATGTGTGTGTGTGTGTGTGTGTGTGTGTGTGTGTGTTCTTGGTATCTGTAAGGTTATGCGTCTTTTTTGGATCATTCGGAGTCTATCTCGAATGCATCATCGAACGGACTTTTAAATTCTTCATTATTTGTCGATGGCATTTGATTTGGATTTGGATCAAGTGATGGATTGGTTTCATTACGTAGTGATGAAGGTAATTCAACATCTAATAAGAAACTACCATCATCATCATCATCATCATCATCATTTTCTTCTTCTTCATGATTATTATCATTGTTGTATTCATTTAATTCATATTGGTTATCTGTATCTTCTTCTTCATTGATTTGGATCAATTTTGGTTTGGCTTTGATTGCTGTCATTAAATTATTACCTAAACCTATCTTAATAGTACCAAGACTAGTATCCATTGCACTTTCTAAATCTGTTCCTGTAGCTTCATCTAATGTATTATTATCTTGTTCAAAAGATGTCATTGTGGTTGTAGCGGATCTATCAATAATATTTTGTTCTTCTTGTTGGGGTGGTTGAGATGTAACTTGTGATGGAAGTGATGTTGTCATATTAATACTCATATCATCAAAATCTTCATCTAATCCACCCAAAATTGATGAGCCTAATGTAATATGAGACCCAGTATCTCCAACAACATTCAAACTACTACCACTACCATTACCCAATTGATGACGTGCAGGTTTATTGAGACGACCTAATGCACTATTACTACTATTTAAAGAAGTTGGTGTACGTCTTGAATTATGATTGTTATTATTACTATTACCACTTCCAATGGTTCCACCATGGCCTGCACTAGTAACACCTGGAATATATGCGATAGGTAACACATTAGAGGCATTGGTTCTAATAGTTGACGTAGTACTAGTACGATTTCCAGGAATTAACATCGATTTACGTAGAGAATCCTTTGAACCATGACGACCAGATATCCAAGGTGGATTACCACCAATGGCATTTCTTTGCAGATTATTGGAACTACTATGATTACTTAAATCTCTTAATTGAACTATATCTTCTGATCCCGATGGTGATTGATGTTGACGATGATGACCACCACTTGTATTTCCTTTTCTGTTATAACCGTAATCATTTAAACTTGTTAATTCATCAAGTGCTTCATAATCTAATGCAACTCCACCATTCATACGTTCATTATTATTTCCTCTTCCTTCATCATCATCATCAGTATATTCATCCTCGTCGTCATCATCTGTAAATTCATCATCAAGTTCATCATGAATCCCATTATGATCACCAAACATATTCATATCTTCTTTTAATTTCAATTGACTGTGCTTTCTACGAGGTTTCCAATACCATTGGTATACTAAAGCACCAACTAGAAGTACTAATGCAGCAATACCACCAATGACACTACCGACCACAATCTTCGTAGTATGATTCGTACCTCCATTATCACTAGAATTAGTACTAGTGGTACTGGTAGAATTGTTCAAAGAACTAAACTGACTAGATGATCGAGGTGAACAATAGGTTGTTGGGCATTTAGAACATGTTAGAGATGTCATGACACAATATTCATCGTCATCACAAGTGGGACAGGCTGGTGTAGTGGGACATACAACGCAACCGTCTGATGAAGTCGTCGAACTTGTAGAGTTACTCATTGTTAAATGTTCTTTTTTTTAATTATTATTGTTATTTTGTTATTTCGTATTTTAAGAGGGAGAAAGGGGTTTCATGCACACCTTCTAATGTAAAGATATATCTATATCTTTAAGTAAATATGAAAGTTGGTTGAAACGTTGGAACTGTCTTCTATATTTTCTTATTTGCGAAAAAACTTTTTATTCTAGCAATTATTTTCCCAAGGTTAATCGATATTCGTTTATTCTATATATATATATAGTTATTATCTATAAGGTAAATAATAAATTTTGAAGGAAGTTGGTTAAAATGACGTAAATTTATTCTTGATACGTATATATATAATAGTATTTGCATTTTAATTTACAAAATCTTAGATCTCATCTTTGCCAGTTTTCTTTTCGAGTTTTTCGGTGTTTTCGTGTTTTCTAACTTGGCCGGCCCATTTTCTTTTTTTTTTCTATCTACTTTCCTCTATTGGCACTGTACCCAACCGTTAATGGCGATATCTGAAAAGTGACAGTAATATTGTAAACCAACTAAAGATTAAGCAATTAAAATGCTAAATGTCGGATGTTGCCAGATAAAGTATAAGAGAATTAGTTCATAATTATTATACGTTGATACAGGACAATATGTGATGCTTCGGATTTCAGTTTTCTCGATCATTTTATTATCAAAAATATTGGACGAAGCCACAAATAATAAAATTTGAGATAGTTATAGAAAAACTATCCCTATAAAGAAGATTACGCAGAAAGGTGAAATGAATTTTCTGTGAATATTTATCCGTTTATGTTGTTGTATCAATTTTTTGGCTTGTGTTTTATATAATTATGTACGATTATTTATTTTATCAAACTATTATTATCATCTTGAAAATATCCGGAGGGAAACAAAATGTAAAATATTATCTTTTTATTTTTATGTTTTAATAAATTCAAACCCCTGGTTCTAATCTATCTCGTAGTTCCTCCCTTGTAGTCTTGGTCTTAAAATGTATTGGAGTCTCTAATCCGTCATTTTTGAGATATAATAAATATGGTGAACACAAGTCCTCACTTTCTTTCATATACACGAGATCATCACGTTTCGCTGTTGACAAGTAATTCATTAATTTATACTTCACATAGCTGCTGTAACCTCGACGTCCTTTGTAAGTACACTCACTCACAACACTTTCTCCGTTACTGTCACAACTATCTTGAAATACTGCATCATCTAACGTACTTGTCACAAATAAGTTTGGTGTGGAATCACATGTCCCATCTTCTTCTATTTCAACTTTTAAGGTATCCTGCAATTCAGATACAGAACGAGAAAATTCACTATTAAGAAGACATGTATTTCTTTTCCCTCTTGTTGATTTTGTGAAGCATCTTTTAGTAAAATTATTAAAACGTTTTAATTTGTTTCTCAAATAGCGACATTTGGAATATGTTTTATAATGATTGCTATTAATACCGTAATAATAGTGTTCGGTATCATTTTGGGGTTCTCTTGCAAATGTTTCCAATACTCTTTCTAGTCGTAATACTTCTCGTTCTGTTTGATCTTCGACGTTGTCAACCAAGAGGGCCAATCTTTCAGTCTCTAATAACAGTTTATCCATATCCATTTCGACCCCTTGATCTTCAACGATAGAGTTCTCCCCATGTTTAATATTGTTATTATATGATGCGATTTGTTCCATAGCAGAATAGAAAAATTAGATATATATATATATATTTGCAATTTGTATGTTACTACAAAATATTCTTTGAGTCAGTTCAAATTCGAGTTTTTTTTTGTTTGAAATTTTTATAATAAACTATAAGACTTAATGTATTATCACAACCACTATGTCGAAGTAATTTTTTTGATTTTTCTTTTGTACTTTGGTTCGTCAAGAGAGTGTCAAATTATTAGTACAACCTTAATTTTCCAGGCGTCACATCAAATACGATAACTCTGACACAACTGTAAATATTAAGACAAGATCAACATAGAGGCATAAAGAACATGAATAAAATCAGAATAAATTAATGTTAATTACGTTTGGCTTTCCCTTGATAGTGAATACAATTTCAAAATTTAAGAATTCATGTATCATTTCGTTAAATATCACTAATTGTCACAAGAATATAGTCAACCCTTTTTTATGATATAAACAAAAGACGCCGCATGGTATTTTATGTCAAATCAAGAAAAAAAAACCTAATAGGAAATTGAAATGGGCTACGTAAGCTGAAGTAGTCATACAAACACTGAATAGGCTAAAAGGAAAAGTTATAAAGCCGTAAAAGAATACCCTCTCAAGAACATACTATCACTGACCGAACCTTCTTCCAATAAGGATTTGTTGAGAGTAGTGTTAGAAATTGTCACATACGCCTATTATACATATATGACCATGAAATGGCATACAAGGTTGTCGGTGTTACTACTATTGCTCATAAGAATAGTGATAGTCGAATGTCTAACTAATAATGAAAGCAATGATCCAAACGATGATTTATTTTGTGCTGTATTGAACCCACAAACGGGTCAATACATAGACCTTTCTCATTTATCATCAACTCCTAATGAAGTGATGGACCCCAAAAAGAAACGCCAGGAGTCTTCAAAGACCAAATGGTTAGTTAAGGGATGGGGTGATGATAAAGACAAGAATTTTACATTAAGTATTTGTTCTAGCCCGATAAATGATGATAAATCAAAGAATAAACCTCCTTCGATGGGTCAGTTAACAAATAAGACAGGTGCATATTATACAGAACGGATAAAGAGTCATAAGTCAGGAGATAAAGATGATACATATATGGAAATTTTTAACTCTATTGGAGACTTTAGTGTTAAACCTCAATTGTATAATAGTAACAATAGAAAATTAATATTAAAATATGAGAATGGGAGTTATTGTCCCGACGGTCACTACAAGAAATCTTCATTATTAAATTTTGTATGTGATCGAGAGATTACTACAAAAGCACAAATCAGTTATATTGGTAATTTAAATGATTGTGCATATTTTTTTGAAGTAAGAAGTGTTTATGCATGTCCAACATCAAATAAAACCAATGAAATCAATGTTTTAGGGATATTCATAGGGATCATTATTGTATTTATTTTAGTACAATATTTAAGACGTAGTATGCAAAGAAGAATTACGTTAAAGGATAATACTCATAATTCTTTAGATAGAGACAATAGTGTTATTAGAGACAATAGTTATTTTAGAGGTACAACAACAGAAAGATCATCTTCAGAAATTGCGTTAAATCAACCTAATTGGGAATTTTTTGATAATCGATCTGTATTAACAAAATTCTTAAATATAGTACAACAAGGTGTACGAACATTAGTATCACCAATTGCACAAGCATTAGGTAACAATAGAAGATATACTTCAAGAAATGGCCGAGATAATTCTAATGGGAATTCAAGACCAATAAGATTATACTCTTCACCATTTGCTAGTAATAGTCAAACATCATTTTTGAGGGATATGGAAATACAAAACAATATATTAGATAGTTTAGAAGTAACTAGTGAAACTACTACGACCACCAATGGAAATAGTATCGACGGTATTAGTTCTACTGCAGATAATAATGATGATTCGAATAATGACGATATAGACAATATGGCGTAGAAGAGAAGAAAAAAGGGCAAACCTATAAAAATAGAAGAAAAGTGAAATATTACATAAATATATGTACGTATTGTATGCACTTAATAAAAAGCAACGATAACAATTTACAAACCTCAGAGATCTAGATTAGGTGTCGCGTATTCGTAAAACACTATGATGAATTAATTACTCAACGTACCACTCCAGACTTCTTCATCTTAGCAAGAAACCCCCCCCCCCCAAAAAAAAAGAAAAGAAATGCAAAACTAACATTCACTGAACAAGAATCAAACTTTATGCATCAATAACTCCGAAAATAGAATTTCTAGTAGCATCATTGTAAATTGGAATATTGGAACTGCAAACTAAATAACAAATATATACGTAGTGATAACTAAATGAAGCAGAGAGGTAACAACTGAAAGAAAATGCATCTCATTTCTGTGACTGACAGGGCATGAACACCCGTACATGCAGATTCAGCATGAAAACCCCAACACCACACACATCGCTATTACTTAATCCAGTCAAAAACATAAATTGTATATATGTATATATGTAAATATATTTGGCTGCGCTTATGTCTGCAAAATGTACAGACAATTTCCCAGGGGAGATGACCTGCACTGCCGTTCTTCTGTGCGAAGATAGAGTGGCAAGATTTAAAAAATTTAACCATGGTGACCCTCCGTTACCCGCAAAATATCCTAAAAACACAAAAACAAGCATTTTTCTTTCTTTTTTCCCAAGCGTCCCAGTGAAAATGCTGCAGAGGCTCCCCTCCTCATCACCCTCATCGATGGACAATTTTTTTTCTGTTGTCGTTTCTTATTTTTACTGCTCGTACAAAATTATATAGTCATATCTTTTTACATTTCCCTAGAGATAACCCCGTACAACCAACTATAACTTAATAGAAAATATTTTTCAATATGACAAAATTTTTTCATTTTTTTACCTTAATTGGTTATATTCATTTTCAAATTTGTTGGAAAATTGAAAAAATAAAATTTTTTTTTTGAAAAAAAAAGTTAAAAATATTTCATTAAGAAAAATTTTCTTTTTGATCATTTCTTTTGGAGTATATAATGAATGAATTTATTCACCTATATTACACATATAAAATTCCCTTATCTTAACTTATTTAATATTCTCTTCCTTGTTTTATTTCTGTTTAATCTTATTTTTTACCTGTTACATAAAGAAAACTACAGCATATCAACTATAAATTAATCACAATGGGTAAAGATAAGTCTCACGTTAACGTCGTCGTCATCGGTCACGTCGATTCTGGTAAGTCCACTACTACCGGTCACTTGATTTTCAAGTGTGGTGGTATTGACAAGAGAACCATCGAAAAGTTTGAAAAGGAAGCTGCCGAATTAGGTAAGGGTTCTTTCAAGTACGCTTGGGTTCTTGACAAGTTAAAGGCTGAAAGAGAAAGAGGTATCACTATCGATATCGCTCTATGGAAGTTCGAAACTCCAAAGTACCACGTTACCGTTATTGATGCTCCAGGTCACAGAGATTTCATCAAGAACATGATTACTGGTACTTCTCAAGCTGATTGTGCTATTTTAATCATTGCTGGTGGTGTCGGTGAATTCGAAGCTGGTATCTCCAAGGATGGTCAAACTAGAGAACACGCTCTATTGGCTTTCACTCTAGGTGTTAGACAATTGATTGTTGCTGTCAACAAGATGGATTCCGTCAACTGGGACCAAGCTAGATTCCAAGAAATTTGCAAGGAAACTGCTAACTTCATCAAGAAGGTCGGTTACAACCCAAAGACTGTTCCATTCGTCCCAATCTCTGGTTGGAACGGTGACAACATGATTGAAGCCACCACTAACGCTCCATGGTACAAGGGTTGGGAAAAGGAAACCAAGGCCGGTGTCGTCAAGGGTAAGACTCTATTAGAAGCCATTGATTCCATTGAAGAACCATCCAGACCAACTGACAAACCATTGAGATTACCACTACAAGATGTTTACAAGATTGGTGGTATCGGTACTGTGCCAGTCGGTAGAGTCGAAACTGGTGTTATCAAGCCAGGTATGGTTGTTACTTTCGCCCCAGCCGGTGTTACCACTGAAGTTAAGTCCGTCGAAATGCATCACGAACAACTAGAAGAAGGTGTTCCAGGTGACAACGTCGGTTTCAACGTCAAGAATGTTTCCGTTAAGGAAATCAGAAGAGGTAACGTCTGTGGTGACTCCAAGAACGATCCACCAATGGCTGCCGCTTCTTTCAACGCTACCGTTATTGTTCTAAACCATCCAGGTCAAATCTCTGCTGGTTACTCTCCAGTTTTGGATTGTCACACCGCTCATATTGCTTGTAAGTTCGAAGAACTTCTAGAAAAGAACGACAGAAGATCTGGTAAGAAGCTAGAAGACCATCCAAAGTTCCTAAAGTCCGGTGATGCTGCTCTTGTCAAATTCGTTCCATCTAAGCCAATGTGTGTCGAAGCTTTCTCTGACTACCCACCTCTAGGTAGATTCGCTGTTAGAGATATGAGACAAACTGTTGCTGTCGGTGTCGTCAAGTCTGTTGAAAAGTCCGCTAACGCTGGTAAGGTTACCAAGTCTGCTGCTAAGGCTGCTAAGAAATAAGAAGTTTAATTTTGGAATCTCCATTTATTTAACTTTAATCTTATTTTCTTAATTGTATACGTAAAATCTATAAATATTTTATATATTACTTTACCCATTTCTAGTTTAATAATATTTTAAACCGATGTTCAAAAAAAGAGGATTCAAAGAATAATCATTATTATTGGTTATTACTATCTTACGCATTATACTTAATGTAAATATACCTATATTTTTATCGTATATATTTGTAAGAATATTTAGTAATTCAATCTTCGACACGTTTATCGTTGTAATCATAAGGTGAAACTACTAACCCCTTGTTCTTTCTTGCTCCACGAAATATTGTTTCTAGAATATCTATCATCTCTTGGTCATCATCAATGACAAAATTCATCTTATTATTATTTCCTGTCCCAAAATCACACATCATATGTTTATTCCCATAGAAAAACATTATACACATTGGATCTGTTAATTCATACATCTCATTAAAATCTGGTACCCGTGTTATATCACAAGTATATATCGTTGCAAAATTTCTTACTTTACCACTGATAGAGTATAATAATTCATCCATTAAAACACATTGACGATCATTCTCTTTCCCAAATCGTATCACTACTAGTCGTTCTTTTTCGGTGACAATAGCTTGGTCAACATGCCAACCTGTAGGAAGATCAATTAATAAATGGCTGCTCATTTTTCTTGTATGCTATTCTTATGTATCTATAGTCCTTAGATCGAAGAGATAGTAGTTCATACTGTAGGTAATGAGATGAGTTTGGTGTTTTTTTTTCCTTTAAGTTTTAAAATTCTACGCGAGTACTTAAGCTCATTTTGAAAAACTATTTGTTGGTGATTGCAAAAACACATGCAGTTGGTAGCACAGACAATTGTCTCAAGTTCTGCAGGTGAATGATATTTGGGGTTCTGAATTATTATTATCAACACAAAACTGAACTTATGTACATCATTTCAGTTAATATGCGCTGCACAGGACAGATGAATGATGTTATTTAAAGCCATTTGGTTAAATACAAAATACCAGGGAGAATTCTGATTAAAAGAGTTATTATTCTGTCCGGAATGTGCGTTTTATATTAGTACTACTTCGCTTTAGGCAGCGTAAGTTTCTCACTATTATACTATTTTCTGATGCTCTCTTGGTAATACCGTTGATAACTAATTTATTATCGAATGAGGTGTTGATAATTGTTCATTTATCCTCTCACTATCCGAATTTTTAACAGACAAACTTATACTAGCATTTTTCTGATTGAGAAAGGACTGAGCTTTACTGCTTTTATTTTTTTATTGATGACAACAATTTTAAAATGGTTAAATCATTTACCCAAACGAATGGGTTTAGCATCATCGATTCGATTTAATTAATTTCCGACATAAAATGATTTTTAAATCAAATACTAGAGAATAGATCATTCACTCCCCATACAGATAGAGCATATTACAACATATTATTATGATCAGGAAGTCACACTCTTTGCTCCTTTATATTTAGAGTACTAAGAGCTTTTGTTATATTTCTAAAAACAACAACACTCAAAATAACATGGGCCTATTATTTGTAACAACTAACCTTTCTATCGTGAATAGCAACTTTGAGGATAAGATGATGTATAATATGCTCTTTATTATTATTTGTTTTATTTAAATTTAATTGTTAGTTATTAAACTATCAAATATTGGCTTCTACCGTACTGCCAAGTATGATACTTTAATTTGCTTGATCATTACTTAATTAAGAATGATAAGTAGTGTTAAATAAAAACATTTAACACGTTCATTAAAGACTATTTATAATTCGCCAATATTTAGAGCGGAAAATTTTCTTCAACAAAAAGCATCACGTCACGAAAAAAGGGAAAACAAAATAATTTTTTCAAGTTATATTGACAATATAATAAACATGGTTAGGTACATAAGACAATGGAAAATTTCTCAGGTTAAGATGAATAGCATCCCTAACGAAGGATGAGGATAAGTCATAACAAACTCATGCTTTTTTGAATCTCCACCTAAAACTTTACTTTGACAAATTCTAAGTAAATGATAGCAGAATGCTTAACAAACACAACAAAGACGTACAGGACGAACTAGCCACCTTTTCAATTATATTAATTTATTAATAGAAAAAGTGACTGCTTCGAATGCACAACAATTTCAAGATCTATGGAAAATTAAAGTTTAAAATGTTAATCACTAGAAGAATCCATAAATTGAACCAATTTTTCAATAAGAATTGGAAGTTTGGCCGAGTGGTTTAAGGCGCCAGATTTAGGTTCTGGTATCTTCGGATGCATGAGTTCGAATCTCATAGCTTTCATTACTTTTTTCATTTTTTGTTGCTGCATATCACGTGATCCCTATGTTTTTTTTTTCTAACGTAACGCTTTAAACTGTGACTCTCTCTTTATTTTTTGTTTTGATTAAGAAAACTGTGGAATGGCGAAAAGTGATTCACTAAGAAATGAATTTCATCTCCTAATAATTGACTGTGCAAAAGATACAAACTGTGTATATATGGAAATGTAAGAAATCAGTCGTGACTAATATACAATCGCCGCCTCTAAAAGCGGCAATATTTCAGTTTCATACCAAGGAAAGTGAGTGAGTTAGTGAGAGCACCCAAAATTTAATTTCAACTGCCTTATTAAATATTCTCTCTGCTAATTAGCATATGACAACAACAATAATAATAACAAGTGAGCAGAACTGTCCTGCAATTAGACGAAGTTTAAGGCCATTTCCACGTGAGTTTAGCGTCGAATACTGTTCGTTCCAATTAAATAACTCTCTTCCCTTCTGCAGTGTATGTGGGGGAGGGGGCAGTGAGAATCATCATTATCGCTGTACGTAAATGAATCGGAAAATAATACTAATAATAATAATAATAATAATAACAATTCAAGTATCCTTTTTTAAATGCTGTTCTTCAACTATCCACTAGTACGTAGCAGTATTGACTCTCGAGTGTGTAAAAAAACAACCTGGAACTAAGTAAAACTGAATGGGCATGGTTTTATTTTCTTTTCGAAATCTCGAATTTATTGTTCAATCTATTGATTGAATGTCTCTCTACTTGTTCGTTTGACGCACAATCTCTGTAAGTGTGGTTTAACCAAATATTACCCTTGAAAGTTGTAAATTGAGACCATTTAATGTAACTTTTTGGTTCAATGATGATGAATCGTGGATTGTTCACTCCGGGGGAAGGAAAAACGTGTTTCTTGATATATATGCAATTGTGGTAAATTTAAACATTTAATTCAAATGGGAAATATATAAACTGTAAGATGTTTTGTTTTTCATGATGAATTCTTTCCTTATTTGATAGTTTACCTTTTACTATTAATTTTAATTATTTTATTTAATTTTGTTCTTTTTTCTAAGTGATAACATTATTCACTAAAAGACAAGAACAAATATATAGAAACTAGTATACCAAGTTTTTTTTATTTATTTGTTGATTTCTAATATACATAAATTCATTAAATACAATGCCTTCTCATTTTGACACCATTCAATTACACGCTGGTCAAGAAAATCCAAGTGATAACGCTCACAGACCAAGAGCTGTTCCAATTTATTCTACCACTTCTTACTGTTTTGAAAATTCAAAACATGGTGCTCAATTGTTTGGTCTAGAGGTTCCAGGTTACGTTTACTCCAGATTCCAAAATCCAACTTCTGCTGTTCTTGAAGATAGAATTGCTGCTTTAGAAGGTGGTGCTGCAGGTCTTGCTGTTGCATCTGGTCAAGCTGCTCAAACTTTAGCCATTCAAGGTCTAGCTCATAACGGTGATAACATTGTCTCTACTTCTTTCTTATACGGTGGTACTTATAATCAATTTAAAGTTACCTTTAAAAGATTTGGTATCGAAGCCAGATTTGTCGAAGGTGATGATCCAGCTGATTTTGAAAAATTATTCGATGAAAGAACAAAATGTGTTTATTTAGAATCTATTGGTAATCCAAAATATAACGTTCCAGATTTTGAAAAAATTTGTGAAGTTGCTCACAAACATGGTATTCCAGTTGTTGTTGATAATACTTTCGGTGCCGGTGGTTATTTCTGTCAACCAATTAAGTGGGGTGCCGATATTGTTACACACTCTGCTACTAAATGGATTGGTGGTCACGGTACTACTATTGGTGGTTTAATTGTTGATTCTGGTAAATTTCCTTGGAAGGATTATCCAAAGAAATTCCCACAATTCTCTGAACCTGCAGAAGGTTACCATGGTACCATTTATAACGAAGCTTACGGTAATCTAGCTTACATTGTTCATGTTAGAACTGAATTACTAAGAGATTTAGGTGCTTTACAAAATCCATTCGCTTCTTTCCTATTATTACAAGGTATTGAAACTTTGTCTCTAAGAGGTGAAAGACATGGTCAAAATGCTTTGGCTCTAGCAAAATGGTTAGATGCCTCTCCATATGTTTCTTGGGTCTCTTACCCAGGTTTAGAATCTCACTCTCACCACACTAATGCAAAGAAATATCTAACAAATGGTTTCGGTGGTGTATTATCCTTTGGTGTTAAGGACTTACCAAAGGCCGAAAGTGAAACTGATCCATTTAAACTTGCTGGTGCTCAGTGTGTCGATAACTTGAAATTGGCCTCTAACTTGGCCAACGTAGGTGATTGTAAGACTTTAGTCATTGCTCCATATTTCACCACTCATCAACAACTATCTGAAGAAGCTAAATTAGCTTCTGGTGTCACTAAGGACTTGATTCGTGTCTCCGTTGGTACCGAATTTATTGATGATATCATTGCTGATTTCCAACAATCTTTTGAAAAGATTTTCGATGGTAAAATTCCAAACTAATGCCTCTTCCCCCAACATTGTTAATAATTAAATAAACAAACGTATAAAAAGAATATATAATATAGATATTAAAAAAAATCAAAAACGCCTTTTAGGTATTACATGAAATAAAATCAAAAAAACAAAAAACAGAAATAGTAAATACTGATTAATTATTCAAAATCAATTATAATATATATATAATAATTAAGTCATCATACAAAATCTACGTTCATATTTAAACCTTCAGTAAGGAATACCATTAGTTATTCTTTGGAATTCATCATAACCCTTGGTAAATACACTTTCAAAACTCTTCTTAATAAGACCCTTCATATACATGGCAGCCTCATGATCTGTCCTTTGAGGTTGGAATCTTGCCTCCAGATTCTTAATCGTCTTACCGCCTTTGAAGCATGGTAATCCACTACCTAACATTGGTTCAATACATTCTATGATAGAATCCATGTGTGGTCTAGCAGCCATGTATGCTTTGATACACAATTCTTCAAAAGCATGGTAAGCTGGTGTCTCGTCAGAACCACCCATAACCCTTACCATTTCTTTAGTTAATTTAAACGGAACAGCCTCAAATTTGACCCCACCGGGGACAATATCAAAAATAAATCCAAAATCAATATGCAAACAATGACCTTGATCATCATACATAATGTTACCATTATGTCTGTCCTTGAATTGTAATAAATATGAAATAACGCTATAACCAGCAAGTGATTTAACGAAATTGTTTCTTGCACGTTGAAATTCAATTGTATTCTCATCACCAAATTTACTAATAAAATATTCATATAACCCATTAACAGCTTCACGACCTAACATATCTCTAGATACAGAATTAGGTAACACATCAATTACACCACAACCAGGGGCTGTAGCAGTGACACGGTATGGGAACACATAAACATCTAGACCGATGGCCGACCAAATTGTTCTGAATATAGATATTAACTGTAGGGCTAAGACATCTTGTCTACAATCATCACCAACCTTGAAAATAGCTGCTTGCCATTTTTCAACTTCCATAGCGTCCCCAGTGTTCGGATCTTCAATAGTTTTCTTTATTTTAAAAGTAGCCATAAAAGGTGCTTTGGCATGAGATTGTAATGGTTTACCACTAGTACGGTTGATATCAATAACAATGCCATCTGGGTTAGAAGGTAAGTATGCACCTGGCCTAACTATAATCTTCTTCATTTCCTCATCAATTTTTTGCTTCTTTTCTGCTTTACTTTTCTTAATATACGGTTTCAACTTCCCTGAAATTGAGGTGACATCACTAAAGAATCCAAATTCTTCTTTATAAAATTCGTAATGTTTTTTCGAAAATGTTTTGACCATCTTCTCACGCACACGATCCAATGTCGGCTTAATAGCATCTTCCACCAATCCATCATCACCAATGTAACAATTTGCTAACATATTCCAGATAATTTGGTGAGAAAATAAAACACTAATCTTTGCAGTGTCTAATATTAATTTTTCAACGTAATCAGTATGATCATATCTTAAACACTGTACGATTTGAGGAACGTAAAAGAATGTAACGTTAACATCATGTGACTCCAGGGAGTAAATACCATACTGTAAAATAAATTCGTTTTTGTTCCACTTCTGTAAGAATAGGCCGATTGATTTCAACGGACTAACTGGTGTCCAATAAACAATTGGATGTAAATCCTTCTTTGTAAATGCTGTATCCAGGTAAATATCCAGTGCTTCAGGTATACCAACACATGATAAAGGATCCTTTGCTACCAATGTTTCCAAAACTCTGGTCAATTTATCCTTTGGATATCTTTTCACTAAGTTAACCGCTAATGATGGATTCTTGTTAAATGCAACGGTGACTAATATTTCTGATGGATCATTTTTATTAGCACCCTCAATTTTTGCCAATGGTGCTAGCCATGTTTCAATGATCTGAATTTCATTCGCCAAGAAGTATTTCAGTAACTCAAATTCCTTACCACAGGTACGTTTCAATAAGCCTGAAAGTTCATCTGCCTTCTTGTAAAGTTCTAATAAAACAGTTAAGTCTGCATTATTTTTTAGTTCGTTGGAACCAAATGGCCACGTAGGTAAAGCGATAAACCATGAAAGAGCCGCATCAACTATTGAATGACATAAATGAATGACATGTATTGTATTTTGTTTTTGATTTGCCTTTAAAATGGCTAAGCCAAATACCAAAAATTCATTACGAATCATACGCGCAAATGGATGACATGAGGCTTTATTTAATCTGGAGAGACCATATTCCACTGTTCTTGTAAATATTCTCAAAAGAGATTTACTCTCAAATCGTGTACCTTCAAAATGAGATGAAAAAAATTTAACAATATATCTATGCGGTTTCAACGAGTCAGCAGCTAATTTAGCGGACCTATCAATTCCCTTTTTGTTGTAAGGTGAATATTCCATCATCTGATTATCGGTAGGAACTACGTCAAATTCTTGGGAATATAGACCCTGTCCAGCATCAATAGAGTTCATCCAACAGAAAGCGACCTCTGATAACAAAATATGTGCCATATCTGGTCTTTCTTTAATTACTGTCAACCAAACATTGGTAGCAATTTCGAAGGCGTCAGAGGAAAAAATTTCGAAAGGAACATGTACAATATCTGAAATAATCGAACCTGCTTTCGCGGTACTTAATATGAGTAGTGCTGCTGACATATCTAAAAAGTCTGTAATTTCTTTGATAGAAATTTTAACACCGTTATCAATTTTCTGTCTAATGGAAACCACTTGCTCATCCAGTGATCTTGAAATATCTTCCTTCGATGACGCAATAGCTGTATCCACCAGAAATTTAGATCTCCAAGAATGTTGGGCTATAAAAGATGAAATTGTATTTGGTCTATTCGATCCCTTATATGAAATTCTGTACAATTCTTTATCAGCAGGAATAATGAGTCCAGCCATCTCTATCGCAAATGAAACACCGTATTCCACCTGGTTTGTTTTTCTTGATTGCCCAATATCAGATACATAAGATTGTAACAAAATTTTAGTATCTTGGTTAGCACAGTTTAGTAAAAATCTCAACCAATCTTTAGCAGCTTTCCGTAACCCAGAGAGGGTGGAAGTTCTCCAAGATTTCGAGCCAGGTATTAGTATTTTTCTTTGGGAATGGTTTAAATAAAATTCATATGTCACATCAAATTTATTTGTTTGACAGTCGACAACACTATCGAAGAGTGTAGTCAGTAGATCCAACAAAGTATATAATGAGTTGTGGTGACATAGGGAAGATGGAATAGATTTGATAAATAAATCACAACATTGGAATGATGCATCTTGCAATAATGTATTCTTATCTGCCATACACAGAAATATATCATTTAATTGAGATGCAATAGATTTAGAGTTGAACAGCTGAAGGTTCCCAACTTCTGTTAACTTCACAAATTTATTTACCATATCAATTGACATAGATATTATTGACTTGTCAATATTACTCGACCCAATAGAAGGATCAGTAAGATATAATAAAATTTTAGAACAATCACCAGCCTCGCACCTAACAGTTTCCAAAAGGATTGTAGCTGCTAGAAACATAACTTTAGAATTGGAAAATGCACGTTGCTGAACAGCATTTGCGTTCATATATCGCGAAATAATTTGTTTTTGTTGTTTGATATTCGAATTGGATGAACCTCTACGTAAAATTGTGTTCATATCTAACGACATTTCTTTATTATTTGCTGGAAAGTTTGACGCAAGTGGTGGACTGTTAAATGCAATAGTCAAAAGTGCATCATAGTTAGTTTTTACAATGTCTGAATCATAGAAGAATCCATGGACAACCATATTAAACCAGACATTTCTGAACATGTTAGTTAATGCTTCGTCTGTACTTAGATTGATCGGCTTTTTACCTGGCTTAGGAAGTAATGTAGCCAATGGTCGCAAGTACCCCGCAATTTGATCTGCCACAAGAGAAATTTCTGTATGAGGTCTATGATGTTCAGGTTTCTCAACTTCACCACTGGAAATGATGCTATCTAGTAGATCGATCAAGTACATCTTATAAATTTCGTCTTCAAATGACTTTGATGCCAATAATTTGGAAGACATGACATTCTTTGATATTTTAATAGCATCTATCAACTTATGATTATCATTTTTTGTAGCAATAGCATCGATAGATCGAAAAAATTTCAGAATCATAGAAAATTGACTAGTTGTACAACATGGAGTAATATCTGCTAATGCCTTAAGGACAACTTCATCCAAATCGTCACTGATCACACCTACCTTTTGGGTAAGGATTGTTATCGTTAGATTAGTAATAGTGTGGTTGTCATAATTGGAGGCAATAGTGGTCGTTGCCGTAACACAATTCTCGAATAGGCCCTTTTGGTATTTCACTTCGGATTTTTTATCTGGTTTATCGTTACTTGATGTATTTGTAATTTGATTTTTTAATTGTCTTAACGCATCAAATGAGTTTGATCTAGGTATGTCATCAAATCTGAAAGAGTTCCCTGAGGTTACAGTCAGTTGACGTTCTTTAAGAAGATTATTGCTGAACTTATCGTTAACATTCGTCAATAAATTATTGATAGAATAAATTGTACTAACAATTGAATCTTCATTCAGAGGTAATAAACCGATACTGAATGTTTCGCAAATGCTTTTGATGTTTGCTGGTTTCATATGCTCTGAGCCGACTAATAAAGGTAGAGAGCGAAGTAAGGCTTCTGATAATTCTTCAGTCAAGAAGTTAAGCAGTGACGCAGCAGTGACAATGCTACTGACAAATTGAGGTGTTATTGTATCTGATAGAAAATAACGATCCATACACAATCCCAATAAATCAACGTAGTCCCCCATAAGGTTCGAATTTTGGAGATATGGGGTCAAACAGAGAAACTGAATGAAATATGCTCTAGTATCAAATGCGAATTTAGCTCTTGAGTCATCAGACATTTCAAATGATGACTCTTCCATAGATAGAGAATAACTTAGGATAAACTTACAAATTTCCTGGAGTAAAGGTTTGGATCTCTCTACATCCTTTAAAACATGACCAGGGAGAGTAAGTCTTTTACTGGAATTTGATAAATTTGCTTGATTCTTGAAGAACGTGACTTGTTGTTCAACCAAGTAATTCATTAAGGACTCTTGTTTGTACGGGATTCCAAGTACTCTACAGGCCAAACTAACTTGCATTTTAGATAGCAGATTAATAAAAAGTGGACCAGATATTTCGTATCCTGCATCAAAATATTGAACAATTGAATCATTCATGAATGAAGGAGAAGATGCTAGGTTGGTTTCAATCTGAGACAAGAATTCTTCCTGTGTAAATAAAGTGGATAAATTTTTCCACATGAAGGAGGATAACTCCAGAGAAGAATTATCTTCAATGAAAGCATTCATTAACCCTAATAGGGAAAATATACTGGATGGTTTGGCTATGTACAAATTTTTCACTTCTGCCAAATAACGCTCAAACAAACCTAAACAATTGTGAACAGCGCTCGGGAACTTACTACTAATTGTAATTAAATACTTGGTAAGTTGAAATGTGATAATCTCATTAGGATTTTTCATATCATTTAATCTAAATTTGGCCAATAGTACGTCTGAAACTCTTTGTCGAGGGGAATCAATGAAATATTTAGAGATCACATTATCCAACAGATCAATTGCCTGAGATTCGACATTTGGAACTGTACCACTGATGGCTAGAATGATTTCCCATTCATTCAAAGTAAGTGGAATTGTATATATTCTTGATGTATCGGATGAATAGAAAATAGGAAGGGAACGTGTAATTATATCCAAATTGTTTCCAACTGTATTAGGTGTAACTTCTTGAGTCTTTTCAGATTTTTTAATGGTCGGTGTATTGGCATAGGTATTCGCAAGTTTACTTAAAGCTCTTGCTCTAAGCGATAGGATATTACTACTATCACCAATCATTTTTTTTTATCGAGTTGCAAATAGTACGGTCAACTAAATATGAAGTAATATTTTAACAAATTAAATGTAAATGAAAACAAATGTACACCTCAATTGTTGTGCAAATTACGAAATTGATGGTACCTAATTACAATCTTGGCGTAACGTCCTCTCAAATTAAATAAGTCTTGGTCTTACTGTTAATTATTGTCCTCTTAACTTTGTCTCTAACACGCTCGATTTTTTTCCACCTTCTGAAAAGTTCACTATCACCTAAAAAGTTTGTATGTCGCGCGAATGGAACTAGTGTGAATTTATCGAAAACAAAGCCCGACCTAAAATCTGAAAAATTTAGCGCAACCCCCCCACTAAAAAGCTATACAAGACCAAAAGTTGATCGAATTGTCTCAAGGCACAAATGAATGGTGTCAGGGTCCCTTTGGTTACTTTGAGATACGTTTAAGAATATGTTGTTAGTGTTGTTTTTAAATAAACTACATTTTATTAGCGAAACCTGAAAATTAAGTGCTACTTTTTCAGAATATTTCTTTTCGGTTTGAAAGTAATAGTGTGCATTAATAAGGTATATTCTAAAATACTGCTAGTAGATAAACCTCACAAACCCCCATCTTCAATATCAAAGTACCCAACTATCCCCAAGTGGACCCTATGAAAAATAAGAACTTTTGACAGTTTTAATCGCGTGGTTTAATTGAAAGACAAAGCGAAAATATTCTTGAATATGCGGCCATGGGGGTGATGTTGTATCATTACCAACAATACAAATAGATAAGGACAGTAGTAAGGTCCATTTCAAGATAACCAAAAGGACTTCTGCAAAGGTATTAGATAGCTTGTTTTTTATTCGTTTTACACTTTTGAAGAAGTTATTTTGCTAGGAGAAACGTTATATACTTAGAAATAAGCTAAAGCCACTCTATATGCACAGCTGCAATGGTATGTACGTTTACATGAATTTATCAGACTAGATCCTTCTTTGTTATAATCTGATCACAGTTCTGGTATTAGAAGTGCCATATTTACTAACCAACTATCTGAAAAACATATTTTAATAAATTTCCAGGTAAAGTTTAATACTAGATGAATAATCAGCTTGTTCAATGCCGTGTTACTTGCCTGAAAAAAAAATCTTTAAATGGTTTCTTGATATTGAATTAATTACAGCTTAAATTACGTCAGTTACAAAAGAAGAAGCAAGAAGAGCTTGCGCGTACGAATTTATTGAAAACAACAGACCTACTACCTGCCTCTAGAATTAGATTACAACGTGATCTGGAAACGTTAGATTTACCACCATGTGTGGAATTGCAAATAATAAATCCAGTAAATGGCATGAATGAACATCCTCTAATACAGCTTAAAATAACACCGGATGAAAATATGTATAAAGATGGCCATTTCTTATTCAATATTGAATTTGGAGATAATTACCCAATAGAGGCCCCAAAAGTTAAATGTCTCAATAAGATATACCACCCAAACATAAATGTAAGCGGAAATATTTGCCTTAATATATTACGTGAAGACTGGTCTCCTGCTTTGGATCTCCAAACAGTTGTAATAGGTTTGTTATTTTTATTTCTCGAGCCCAACCCTAAGGACCCATTAAATAAAATTGCGGCAGACCAATTAATTTCAAATAAAGAACTTTTTATTCAAAAGGTTAGATCCGCAATGAGTGGTGGATATGTAGATAATGAGATATTTGATTATGTGTTATGATAGAATTGATGTAAGAGATTGTGTAGAAATTGCGTGTTTCTGCATTCTCAAAACCCTTAATTTCAAAAGTTTTTTCCTTTTCCGCAGAACTGAAAATGTAACAGGTTTTGCGTCACATAATAATTCGAAGTTAACAATAATTATAAAGGACGTATAATTTTTATTCAAAACTATTTTTAATATCAAACTCTTACATATATTAATAATTATTCTCTATATTTTCATAGCGGTGCGACTCTCTGTTTAAAATGGTCAAACCTTCCAGCCTGTTACTAAGTGCACTATTATTCGAAACAACCGTCTATGGTTCCAATGTCGAATTTCGAAAAAAGACAGGTGGGGTTGCTTTTATTGGCGATGAATTGAATCAAACCCCTTTCCCACAATGGCTCACAGATTTTACTGGGATGACACAATGGCCAGGGTTGGTTCCACCGTATATTCCTTTGGACTTTATTGATATGGATAAAATACCGCAATACAACCGCTACCAACAAGGTGTGTGTGACGCAAATCCTCGCGAGGCGTGTTCTTTTGATTGTGACCAATGCGTTGCACATGATGATGTAAGTACTTGTAGAAAATTATCACAGACCTTTGATGATGGACCTTCTCCTGCCACTTTAAAATTACTTCAATATTTGCACCACAAGGCAACTTTTTTTACATTAGGTATTAATAGTGTTAACCATCCTGATATTTATCACCAAATACAGGATGGGGGTCATTTAATAGGCTCACACACATGGTCGCATGCCTATCTACCAAGTTTGAGCAACGAAGAAATCATTGCACAAATAGAATGGTCTATATGGGCGATGAATGCAACTGGAAATCATATTCCTAAATGGTTCAGACCTCCATATGGCGGAATAGATAATAGGGTGAGAGCTATCACAAGACAATTTGGATTACAAGCAGTCCTGTGGGATCATGATACATTTGATTGGAGTTTGGTTACTAACGACCCTTTCAAAACTGAACAAGAGATATACAATGATGTAGCGTTGTGGAAATTGATAGAAAACAGAGGGTTAATTCTAGAGCATGATGGTGCTAGGAAAACCGTAGATGTAGCAATCAACGTACTAGATTTATTGGGAGATGACCAATTGGCTGTTTCGCAATGTGTTAATGGTATTGATTACATTCAAGAGTTTTGAAGTTATAGTTAACTTTAAGTTTGAGTCCAATTCTACTTGCTAGGTTTGCCAGGTTTGCCATCTTCTTGATTTTTTAGAAAATTTTATAATTCATTTGCTTTAAACTTTTTTTAACAATTGAATACTTACTAATGAAGCACTCAAATAGTATATACAGATACTGAATTATTTTCTTATAAAACATATTTAATGCTATCTATCTTAATGCCATTACTAACCTCTTTTCATCATTACTATCAAATTGTAGCAACATAGAAATTACAGGTAACAATTGATTTCTTTGTTCCTTGTGTTCCAAAAATCCTAACAACACGTTTTTCACATATGCAAGTTTTTCGTTTTGTGATTGCGTCCCTGTTATACTATCAGAACTGTTAATTTCCTTCATGGTTGAGATATCCTTAGATGAAGATGAAGAACGAGGTATTGGTTCAGGGACAGTAATGCTAGTTGTAGAGATTGAGTTACTATTGGACAACTGTGAACTAACAGAACCGGATCTATCAGGCCTTGTTGTGACGGAATTCTCTTTTAGTGTGTTTAATTGATTTGAGAGAACCTTATAGTTTTTCGTCAATCTTTCAAGTTTCTTATTCAAATCATTATTTAGGGATAACAATTCGTCATTATTCAATTGTAAGTCATGAATCTTACCATCTGATTTTGACAATAAATCCTTCAAGTTCTTCTTTACTTTATTAAAGTCCTCAGTATTCTCGTTATCAATTTCATCTTTGCGTTTATAACTTGCGTTAGACCTTTTCAATTGCTCAACCTCTTCATTTAATGATTTTTCCTTCAACTTTAAATTATTAAGTTCGATTGTTAGTTGATGATTAGTATTTGTTAAATTTTGAAATTCCACGTTCTGCTTTGATGACTGAAGACTTAATTGGTTTTGTAGATTCTCTTTTTCTTCAATTATTGCTTGAATCTTGGTTTCATAATCGTTACCTTTATTTGAGTTGTCATTTAAAGCATCATTCAATAACCTTCTCATTGTCTCTGACTCTCTTGTTTTGTCTTGGATAATATTCGTGTAGTCATTTATCTCTTCTTCGAGGGATCTGATTTTCTTTGAAGACTCTTTCAATTTCAGGTTCAACTCCTCACATTGTCTCTTTATGGAGTGCACTTGGTCACTAGAATTTGATTTGAGATCCTCCAAAGCATTGTACTTTTCTTGTAAGATGGATATTCTTTCTGTTAATTTACCATTCTCTTTGACATAATTCTCATACATGGAACTATTCTTATTGACGTTAGAGCTTAACGTACTGTTCTCCTTCTTCAGCAATAATATTCTGTTGTTTAATTGGGAATTTTCGGTTTCTAGTAATGCAAATTTCTTTTGCAAAGCTTCCTGCTTTTCACTATATTCCTTAACTTGATTTTCCATATAGAGGATAGTTTTTTCCTTTTGGGTAACTAAGTTTTTGATATTTTTGTATTCTTTTAAATCATTGATCATAGTTGTGTTTTCATTTTGAATTTTCTTAAACTTAATATTTAATTCTTCTTTCTCCGAAGTCAATTGAGCAATATTCTTTTGAAGAGTTGCACGTACTGTATCTATTTCTTTTATTTTCTTTTCAGAGAGTTCATTAGTCCTCTTCAGCATCTCTATTTGTTTCTTGGTCTCATCATTGACCTTTTCTACTTGGGATGATTCCTTTAATTGGTCTTTAGCATCAACAAGTTCATTACCAACATCCCTTAGCATATCTCTAACTTCTTCTATTTCAGTGTCTTTATTTTTCAGAGATTGTTTGGCAAGGATTAACTGTCCATTGATATCGTCATATTCTTTTTGTAATTCACTGAGAGATTGATCGTCAGCTTGCTTATCAGACTCTTCCTTTAGGATGTTAAATTTATTTTCCCATTCCTCGCAATGAGAATGTTCGGTCTTTAGAGACTCATATTGTTTCTCTAATGATTCATATTTCAGCTTTAGACCATCGAATTCTTCTGAATTGTTTTGTTCTATTACGTTTACAGCTGGTATTGATGGAGGAACTTGCTGCTGCTGCTGCTGCTGCTGCTTCTTCTTTTTGTTCTTTTTCTTATTTTTCTTTGAGTTATTATTCGTAGGTTCAAGTTTATCAGAAGGGGAATCAGTTTCCTTTAGTACAGGTGCCTCAGAGTCGTTCTTTATACTATTTTGTAAGGATTGGATAGTACCATCTTTTGATGCGATGTCCACTTTAAAAGATTCTATAAGTTTGTCCTTAGAACTGACATCTTCTTTTAAATCTACTATTATGCTTTCTTTTTCTTTCAACTGTTTCTTTGTATCCTCCAATTCTGTAACATTTTCTTGAATTTGTGATTCCAATTTCTTACAATCGTCAGTCTTTTCAAGTAATTCTTTTTCCATTAGTTCGACTTTGGCATCCATCTTCTTGACATCTGCTTCATATTTTGTTATAGATCCATTTAAATTAGTTATCTCATTACGAGCAGCTTCTAGCTCCTCATTTTCATTTAAAGATTTATCATTATCAATTACAGTTTCATTCTCTTCAGATTTTATATTTTCCAACTCTTGTAATTTCTTCTTTAATTCTATATTTTCATTCTTAACTTTATTTAGTCTCTTTAATTCATCATTTAGGATTGAAGTTCTATTAGTAATATCTTGAAAAAAAGCAGGTAAAGTTTCTTCAATATCATTAATATCAGAAATTGGTGTATTTTCTGTCAAAATTTTTCTTATAGATTCAAATTTTAAAGTTTTACCCTTTTCATTTTTATAAGCATTTAATAATAAAGGGTATTTTGATTCATATTTATCAAATTTACGTAATTTTCCTTGAACATCCTTTGGCAAATCAATAAATTTTGTACCATCTGCAAATACTGTTTCATCAATCTTGTTATTTGAAGTATTTGTAGAATCATTCATAAAACTTTCATCGGTGAGCCCCTTTTGTAACTCATCTGTGAGATTCTTACTCAACTGACTTAATTGTTTAAACATTTGGTCCCTTAAAGGAAGGCTTTAAATACTAATTTCCAACCAAATGGTTCACAATAGACAGCACCGATATGTAAAGATCTATCTCTATATGACCAAAAGAAAGGAGAAAGTTTTTTAGGGAAAAATATACAGGATCTACTCAGTATAGTATTAAACAATATTATAGAAAATTATTATCAAAAATAAATACAGATCATTTAGTCAAGATCATGTCAACTTGAATGTTGATTTTTATTTAGTTATCAAATTTATCAATTAATTCCATATACTTTGTTTGGTGTTTTAGATGCGGTCCCCTCACCTATAGTGGCTCCGCGAACATTTACACCGTCTTTTTTTTTTTGCCTGGCAGTATTTAAGAAACTTAAATATTATTAGCAGTAATAAAATACAATGACAGGGTGTAATAAGCAAAACAAAAATACTCCTTTGAATATACAAGTTACTCCGTAATGTTAGTTATACTTAAATATAAAACAATTTATTAAATTCATGAATTATCGATCAAGTTTTCTACGTGGGCAGACATCATTCAGTCATGATATTCAAATACAGGTATCAAACAGAAATGTGTCGCCTGACGTACAACATGATCTTAGAAGAATACTGAGCGAAAAAAAGTGAAAATCAAGCGAAAAAATTTTTTCAGTGATTCCCCTTTTGGTTGGAAGGAATTGAATGAGTAATCTAAGAAAGGATGGAAAGGTAACCACTTATTACGTAGTTTGTAACAATAGTCAATTATATATATATATATATGCGAGTTTATATAGTACTTAATATTGGGTCAATTGTTTTATAAATATCCATTAAAATAGATTATCAACAGCCAATTGTAAAAATGTCTGAAGAAGCTGCCTCTCAAGCTCCTGCTGCTGCACCAGCCGCTGAACAACAACCTGTCATTTTAGGTGAAGATGGTAAACCACTATCTAAGAAAGGTTTAAAGAAGTATTTAAAGGAACAAGAGAAATTGAAGAAGAAGCAAGAAAGAGAAGCCAAAGAAGCTAAAGAAAAAGAAGAAAGAGAACGTGCTGCTGCTGCTAGTGACACTGCCAAGGAACATTATGGTAAATTCCCATTAATTCAATCAACTGTTCGTACCGGTGAACCAAGAGTTAAGTTTTATGATTTAGATGATGAAAAGGATAATGGTAAAGAAATGTTATTTAGAGCTAGAATTCATAATAAGAGACAACAAGGTGCTACTTTAACTTTCTTAACATTAAGACAACAAAATGAATTAATGCAAGCTTTAGTTAAATTTAATAAAGATGATGGTAGTATTTCTAAACAAATGGTTAAATGGTGTGCTAATTTGAATCTAGAAAGTATTGTTCTTGTTAGAGGTACAGTTGTTAAAGTTGAAGAAGCTATTACAAGTGCTACAAAACAATTTTTAGAAATTCATATTAAAGATATTCATACTATCAGTGAAACTCCAGAAACTTTACCAATTTTAATTGAAGATGCATCTAGATCTGAAGCTGAAGCAGAAGCTGCAGGTCTACCTGTTGTTAATTTAGATACAAGACTTGATGCAAGAGTTATTGATTTAAGAACTGTTACAAATCAAGCAATCTTTAAGATTCAAAGTGGTGTTTGTTCATTATTTAGAGAATTTTTAACCAATCGTAAATTTACAGAAATTCATACACCAAAATTACTTGGTGCACCAACAGAAGGTGGATCAAATGTCTTTGAAGTTAGCTATTTTAAAAATAAAGCTTATTTAGCTCAATCACCACAATTTTATAAACAACAATTAATGATTGCTGATTTTGAACGTGTCTTTGAAGTTGGTCCAGTATTTCGTGCAGAAAATTCCAATACTCATCGTCATATGACAGAATTTACTGGTCTTGATTTAGAGATGACATTTGAAGAACATTATCATGAAGTATTAGATGTATTAAGTGAATTATTTGTTTTCATTTTTGGTGAATTAAAGACAAGATATGCTAAAGAAATTGAACTTGTTCGTAAACAATATCCTGTTGAAGAATTTAAATTACCAAAAGATGGTAAAATGATTAAATTAACTTATAAAGAAGGTATTGATATGTTAAAAGCCGCAGGTAAAGAAATTGGTGATTTTGAAGATTTAAGTACTGAAAATGAAAAATTTTTAGGTAAATTAGTTCGTGAAAAATATGATACAGATTTTTATATTTTAGATAAATTTCCATTGGAAATTAGACCATTTTACACAATGCCAGATCCAGAAAATGAAAAATATTCAAATTCATATGATTTTTTCATGAGAGGTGAAGAAATTTTAAGTGGTGCTCAACGTATTCATGATCATGATTTATTAAAGAAACGTATGGAATTCCATGGTTTATCAACTGAAGATGCCGGTTTTAAAGATTATGTTGATGCATTTAGTTATGGTTGTGCTCCACATGCAGGTGGTGGTATTGGTTTAGAAAGAGTTGTTATGTTTTTCTTAGATTTGAAAAATATTAGAAGAGCATCTTTATTCCCAAGAGATCCAAAGAGATTAAGACCATAGATGTTTGTATACAATTATCTAATGTGCTGTATGTTTTCTTTTATATTTCAGCTATATACATACATATATACTACAAGTACGTATAATTAATTATTATAACTTACTACTATTACTACTAATCTTTTATTTTAAAAGTACCATCTTACGAAAAAATATATATACATATATATGTATATAGACAACGCGAGGTTCGTTCCCTTTCCTCCAAAAAAAAAAAACAGTAATAATATAAGGGGAAATACAATATCTAAGAGAGTAATATGCTATAGAGCACAACAACTTTAAAATTAATTCAACACAAACAGAGATAAACATATACATATACGGAGAAATGTCGGGTAATCCAGGTAATTCATTAAGAGCATTGTCACCAACGCCCCCTGAACGTGGATCATTCCCATTAGATCATGACAATGAATGTATTATACAAATGCAAAAATATTTGAATTGTATGAAACTGGTTGGTAATGAAAATGCCCCAAATTGTAGATTATTAGCAAAAGAGTATCTAAGATGTAGAATGGACCATAAATTAATGGATAGAGACGATTGGAATCACTTAGGATTGCCACGTGATTTGGAGGAAGAGTCCATTAGCAGGGATAAAGATGAACATTATTTTGGTCAGGGTAAATAGTAATTAATAAGTAAATCTATAATAAACCATGTACATATTAACGAATACAATTGTAATAGAGCCGTCAACAATGATGCCCCCAAACTGTATCAAAGTCTGGCCCACTCACCAGCACCACCAGCACCACCCCCCTCTCTCTCTCTCTCTTCTCAAAGTAAAACAGCAGCGCGTGTTGCCGTTAATATTCTCTTTCCAAATTTTAATCCCCACTGCGTCTCTCCCTCGCCTCGCCTCGCCTCGCCTCCCCCCGCACAGCCGCGTATTATAAATATATATGTACAGAATAAGTTAAATGGTGATGATATCACTGCTTCTACGGTAGAAACACAGGACGAATTCCTGTTTTGTTAATAGCTCACGCACTCAACAACAACAACAACCAGACAGAAAATACAAGTAAAACGTGGGTAACAAACATAAAAGCGGGAAAATACCTCTCTATCCACAGCATTCTCTGAGAGCATTAAAGGGAAAACCCACCAATAGCGGCAATAAAACCGAAAGTGTCTGTGAGACACGCACACACAGAGAGAGAGAGAGAGAGAGAGAGAGAGAGAGAGAGTGGCTAATACAATAAATGCTAACAAGAAAATAGCGAAACGACCTGCTTGCCACATTGCAAAACGATTATTAATTTGGGTCTCCACACTTCTTTCTTGAAAACAGTTCTTCACCAACAAGATTGATATTGGTAGCTGGAAAGGGGGAGGGGAGAGATACAGCTCGCAACTATGCGAACCAAGATGGATGTATCATGGGGTTGATAATTCAATTCATAACAAGTGGTGCTTTATTTTCTATTCTTTGCAAGGACATGGAAAGTGAATGAACGATAAGGGAAAATATATATATATATATATTGTAAATATAGATAGATAGATAGATAGATATATATATATATATCAATAAAAGTTAGATCTATAACCATTTGTCTTTTTTAATTGTTTGGACTATTTGCCAGTTTTGCTTTACTCCTCTTTATCTTTTTTTGATTCTTCTTTTTTTTTATCGGAGTATATATATATACATTAAAATCTGATTAAATTGAAGACAACAAGAGTCAGTAAAAAAGATACACATACTATAAAGAAAGCAAATTTTAAATATAATATTGAAAACAATATAAAGTCGATTAGGGATGGCACGTTCAGAAATATTATCAGCGGCCTCGACAAATACAAGAAAACGCCAAAGAAATAATAATGTTTTAATATCACCAAAATTCAACAATAAAAATAATAAAGATTTACAAAGTGATAATGATAATGACGATGATGATGATATTTATCAAGATAGTTTAATTAACGAAATGTTAGAAAAACAATCGGAATATCTTAATAATAATTTAACTTTTAATAATGCAGATAATAAAATAAAAAATTTAACAAATAATGATAATAATAATAATAATAATAATGATGATGATGATGATGATGATGACGTAGTATTCATCAAAGAACAACCTATTCAACAACAGGAACAAAATAGATATACTACAACAAATTATAATTATAATGATAATAATTCAAATATTATTATACCTAATGGTATGACAATTAAAAAACAAAGAACAATTTCATTACCTCAATTGCCTTTATCAAAATTAGATCTATTATCATTATCAAATAATGCAACTAGTTCAACAATTGATATTATACCAAGAACTCAAAATGATAATGAATTATTAAATTTAACAGGTTCTTCAACAAAGACTTTAGCATCAAATAAAACTGTACCTTTAAGAGTTTTACAACCTTTAAATAATCATCATAATACAGAAAATAATAGTAACAATAATAATGCACAAGAACAACGGTCTTCAATTTTTAGTAGGAAATTTAAAAATTATCACAATCATTTTAAAACTGATAAAGACGGTCATTATATTTATCATGATAATGATACATTTGGTGATAACGAGAAATTTGTTGCACAAGGTTTATTAGGTCAAGGAACATTTGGTAAAGTTTTAAAATGTTTTGATCAACAAGAGCAAAAATTCGTTGCGGTTAAAATTATTAGAGCAATTGATCGTTATAGAGAAGCTGCAAAGACTGAATTAAGAGTATTAAATACAATTTCTCAAAATGATATTACAGGATCATTTCAATGTCTACTTTTATTAGATTATTTTGATTATAAAAATCATATTTGTTTAATTACAAATTTACATGGGAAATCAATTTATGATTTTATGTGCGCAAATGGTATCGGTAGATTCCCGGGTTCGCATATTCAAGCAATTGCAAGACAATTAATTAGATCAATTTGTTTCTTACATGAACTTAATATTATTCATACAGATATTAAACCAGAAAATATCTTATTATGTGATGATCAAAATTTTGCTCAATATCAACTACCTGATAAAATTTTATCAGGGTTATCAAAGAGGAGAAAAACAGCTTCAAATAATGGATTAAGAAAAATTTTACAAACACCTGAAATTAAAATTATTGATTTTGGTAGTGCGGTATTCTTTGATGAATATCATCCACCAATTATTTCAACAAGACATTATAGAGCTCCAGAAATTGTATTAGGACTAAGTTGGTCATATCCATGTGATATTTGGTCAATTGCTTGTGTCCTTGTCGAACTTGCAACTGGTGAATCATTATATCCCATTCATAATAATTTTGAACATTTAACTATGATGCAAAGAATTAATAATAAACTTATCCCTGATAAGTTAATTGATACAATGTTTTATAAATATGATAATAATATTGGGAATTTACCATCAGATTTAAATTCAACAGTAATTAAACATTTCAATAGAGATACCAAAAAATTAATGTGGCCAGAAATTGATCCTTTTACAGGCACAGTCCTTACAGAACCTAAAGTTATTAAAAGAATAGAAAATAATTGTTTTAGTCTCGATATTTTAATCTGTAAATTTTTAAAGATTGATATGAATGATACTAATTTCCAAATAGATACAACCTTATCGGCTGAGGAAAATTGGGCTCATTTAGAACAATTGACTTCTGCATCAAAGGAAACATTTTTATTCTGGTATTATTTCTTAGATTTATTAAATAAAATGTTCGAATTCGATCCAACTCAAAGAATTACTGCAAGGGACGCTTTAGATCACGAATGGTTTAATTTGGGTATTCTCGATGAAGGTATTACCAGTTTTTACTGATTGTGTTTTCGTTTTTTTTTCTTTATTCCTCTTCCATCATGTTTGCATCAAAGTCTACCAGACTTCCATTTTTACTCACACCATTACATCCACACCGTTTATATTCCATTCCAATGACCTCACAAAATTTTCTCTATTCCTTGGAGCCTATATTCCCCCTTTCTCTTTTTTATTTGTTATTTTATCGTTGTTTTAATCTCCAAGGTTTATTAAGTTTATTTTATTTTTTATTGTTCTGTTTCTATTTTGTTTCTTTTTATGTACAATATTAACAGCTACTTAGATCGTTTTTCTTTCTTTCTAGTACCCCCACATTATTACACACTATTTCATCTATATTCATAACTAACGATATATTAATAATATCTATCTATATTCTTCATTAACTATTCATCAAACTTCATAAGTTAAAACAACATTAATAATATTCCATTACAAAAAAAAATGTCTTTAATAATAGCAATAATACATATAATATAATTAAGCAACTATATAAAATTTGTGATTAGCCGCACAGTTCGGAGATTTTCAAGTAACTAAAAAGTAAACATACTATAATACAATTAGAGTCTATATAGATACAAATATCGTGTGATATCTCATTTATTTAAGGTTATATTTCCCTCACTATATACAGAACAGGGAGTAGGACTACCTTTTATTATTTTATTATTTTCTTGTCCTGTTTGTTTAATGAATTCTTGAGTTCAAAAATTCAATTTCTTCTTTTAAGCTAGCTTCTTCAACAGTCTTAACTAGTTCCTTTGTGCATTTAGCAACATCAAATGCAATTCCAGCTAGTCTTTGTTTAAAATTCTTATCGGCGTAATCTTCGTCTGATTTCTCGTTCTTAAGGATACCATCCTTATCTAACTGGCACAATGTAGTCATTCTACGAGCACAATCTTCTAAACTCTGAACAACCCAACTACCATGTTCTTTCAAATTTGCATTACGGCTTTGATTCATAGAGACACTTGTAGCGTCCACCATTTGACCAATAACTTGATTAATAGCATTGGATTCTCTTCTTAAACTTCCTTTGGTGGATTGAGGTTCCTTAATTGAACTTAATAATGACTGAATTGTAGAAATAACATCGACAGTTTGATGTTCCAAATACAGTAGAAGATCAGATAATGTGTTATCTGGATTTTCAATATCGAATGCATCAACATCAAAATTATCTTCTTCAGATTCAGATTCAGCAGATTCATAACTACCATCGGAACTTTCTGTTTCATCCTCAGACTCCGATTTCGGTAATGAAGTCGGATTTGGATCATCTGATTTTAATGGTATAAATTGATAACTAGAATCGTCTTCAACCTCACCTTCCTCATGGATAGGTAGCTTAGGTGAATCCTTTTTTGTTATCGACGTTAGTTTTCCTTCTATTGGTTCCTTTTTCACAGTAACGTTATTGGCCAAATTTTCAAAAGGTTTGTCATTCGTATCGTCCTTAGGTTTTGGGATAATTGGTTCTATAAATTCTTCTTTAATCTTAGGTTGTGCAAGAAGCTTTGGACTTTCATTCAAAGATGATACACTTGGTTTTCTCAGTCTCGATTCATGTCTCTTCGGTATTTCTACAGGTAGAGGGGTATTGACTAGTGTTTCCTTCACTGGCTCTTTATTGTAAGTACTAGAAGGAGTTGGTTTAGGACTTTGGTTATTTAAGTTCACCTTGTTCAAATTCACTCTTTTTAATGATGCACTTTCTAACTTGTTTATCTTTAGCGGTTTGAAAGTAGGCGTACTAGCACTTTCGACAGGTGTTTGTGCCTCTACTTTTTCTGGATTTTTTTCTGTGGTTGAAGGTTTTTTGTCTTCGACAACGTCTTCATTAGGAAATATTGATTTTTCGTCTTGTGTTTGATCTTTAACTTCATTGTCCTTAATATTTTCGTCTAATTTTAATTTATCATTTTCAAGTTTTTTAGTCTCTTGAACTTTTCTCAAAGCTAGGAAGGTTTCATCATTATCAGAGTCAGTAATCAAAGCATTTGGCGATTTGCTTAAGTTTTCGTCACTTTCAGAATTCACGAATTTCGATAAAGATTGATTCGATACATTGCGTACTTCTGGAACAGAGTTTAAATCATGGTTTTCTCCTTGTTCCGAATGTTTAATCAGTTCATCATCATTAGTTTTTTCAGAACCAAAGATGTTGTCAATAGACAATGCTAATCCAGCAGATGATCTAGAACCTCTGGCATTTAAAGATGGATCATTAATTTCCTTTTCAGGTGACTTAGTGGAAGATTCGACTATAGTTTCATTTTTATCATAGTTTTCTGTAAAATTGGTGTTATTCGTTGGCTCTGGTTTCTCTAAAGTTGGAAATTTCTTCTCCTGATCTAATTTTGGAACAGTTTCAGTAGTAGATGGTTCATCTTCCTCTGTTTGTGAATTATCCTTTGGATTCTCTCTATCATTAGATGTTGTCTTAGTGTTCAAAGAAGATGGAACTGCTGGTACATTGGAAGGATTACTATTAACACTTGGTGATTTGCTATGGTTACGTTCTTGGTCTATCATCAGTGAGAAAAGACCACTGCCAGATGGTTGTCTCATCCTTGTGTTTATCTTTGGTACAAGGTTTGGTGATTGATTACCAACTTTTTGTGTAATTTTTAGTGGTTTTACAGGTGAATTTTCTCCAATTACGCTGTCCTCTTCCATAATGGCAGATGGATTGGTATAAACTGATGCTAATGTTGGAGTTGATACATCTCTCGAGGATAAATTAATTGGTAAAGGTGATGTAGATCCAGATACTGAGTTGTTTAAGTCATTTGAGGTTGGAATGTCGATAGCGAGTTCCTTTTTCTCTAGTAATTTTAAATCATCAGTTTGTTTTATATGAGTAACCTCAATTATATTACATGCAGCAAATGCTAATTCGGTGACAGCTGCATAAATTATAATCTTGGGTAACAGAGCGTGGTATAAAGAATAATATCTAACAGTGGATATTAAATGCGAAAAGGATGCTTTCAATAAAAGAACTTGATCTTTGAAAGTTGGAATATCAACAAGCGTCAATATCTGAGAAATTATGCTGGAAGTATGCCCTAACACTTTAAATAACTTATCACCAATAGAGTCACTGTTACTGTTTTCCGGAGACTGTATAACAGTAAAAAAAAATTTGATTTTATCATTCAGTTGGGTAATGAGATCCAATGGTATAATACCTTGCGGACTAATAAATTTGAGTATTTGATCAGAATCTAATAAATTTTGATCATTCAGTTGCATATTATTCGATTTATCATTATTGTTATTATTTTGATTATATTTAAACCTTGATTCCATCTCTAATACTGCAATTTTTTGCTTTAAATTTTCGTTTTCAATGGATAAGTTACGGACTTCACTATTCAAATTCATAAATTCACTTTGTCTATGAGTGGAACTTATTGGGGTAGGTGCAACTGGAGACATACTATTACTATCATCATCTTGTAAATTTATATTTTTCATTGTAACAGGGTCAAAATTAATTTTCTGTTCAATAATATCTTTTTCTACAGGTGTCTCAATAGAGGTATCATTTCCTGGTAAGGGTTCCATATATTGTTCAGGTTCAGATTCCTTGGGTTCAGAATCTTTACCAGTGGTTAATTCGGATGGTAAAATGTTTTTACTTAATGGTTGTAAGACAGGTGTAGGAATATTTATTGTTGGATCATTCATACTACCAAATGTAGTTTCAAGTTTTTCTTGTAAAGTACCTGTATGACTAACATCATTTAAGTCCCCATCAATTGTATCATCATTTTGATTAAAATTACGAGTTTTGTTTTGTGGTATTGGAGTAACAAATTCATCATTATCATTATCTTTTTGTAAAGTGTTATTTAAATCAGATGATTCTGAAATATTTGATGGTTTTAATTCAAGACCAAAAGGAGTATCATCATTTATATCTACTGATGGTGGATGTGTGGATGATATTATAACATCATTTGCTGCATTGGTGGCAGTTGTAGCAACAGGAAGTTCTTCTTCATCTTCTTCAGAGGAAGACCAATCAATTGATGCTTTTTTTGGTATAACTAAAGATGGTTGAATTGATGTTGTTGTTGCTGGTATTTGACTTCCATTTGAATCTCTTCCAATTGAACTGGTTTCTTTATTAATATTATTTATTACATTACTATCTGGAACAATTTCAGAAATATTATTTGTTATTGGTTCATTGTTATCAATTGAAGATGAATCATTTGATATTTGTAATGATAAATCTTGATTTTTATTTAATGGTTTATAAGAATCAAATCCTCTTCTTCTAATTTCAAATAAGATATCATCAACTAATTCATTAAATCTTGTTTGGGATAAATTTGCTAATTTTTGTCTTGCTTGGTTTCTTTTCATATGAAAATTTGCCTTTGGTAATAAATAATCAGGTTTATTTTGATCTTCATTAATTCTTCTTTTTAATTCATCTGAAACATCTGTACTTAATTCATAAAATTGTGAAAATGATAATTTTAATAATTTACTTCTTGCCTTTTGAGCTCTTGGTGATGTTTCTCTATTAAGTTGTTGAACCCCGGTAACATCAAAAAAAGTTTTCAATGAAGAATAATATTGTTCAATATCACGTTTATGAGCCTCTTGTTGGTCCTGACTCATCATATTTCAATTGATAATTAGACAAATGAAAGAACTGAGAATAAAAAAGAGTGAACACCAATTTAATTTAATTTAAGTTGTCTGTTTGTTTTTCCTTCGATGATTATTTTTGCAACTAACTATCTCATGAGATATACTTACACTAACCTCGATGGAAATACTTTTAATAAGTCATTATTTTTTTATTAAAAGAATAATAACTATAAATAAATGTATATAGGTTTCCCATTGTGAAAAATAAATAGAATGAATTGGATGCCTCTTTATTTGTTTGTTTGTTGTGTGTGTCTTTTGTCGATGGCTTCTCTCTCTCTTTCTCGCGCCTTGTTTGCTCAACTGACCGAAAAACCGCCGTACAAAAATAAAATAAATAAATTACCAAGAAAACAGAGACAGACTGCAAAACGAATTGGAACGAAACGAAAAAAACTGTTTTTGTCGCAGTTGAAAACAGTTTTTTTCGTATGGGCGAATAGCTGCCATTGCTGTGCGTGTGTGTGTGTGTGTGTGTGTGTGTGTGTGTGTTTGGGACGTAGCTGGGCGAAGAAAATATGGCAGGGGAATAGTCCGTCGTGCACAATGACGGGCTTGGCAAGAGACGGTAGTCTTTGTTATTGGGTGTTAATTAGTATATTTGAAGACAACTGGATTGTGGTTGTTGATGATGATGACGAGTTTACTAGTGAGTGTGTATATATGTATATTGCACAAGTGTTGTGAGAATGAAAATTGTTGCCATATGCTCTATGTAAGACAGGTACAATTAAATAACTTTTAACGTTGAAAAGGTTGCGACTCTTTTCAAATGGTGACGCGTTATTTTATCCAGTCGCGTTTCTTTTAAAGACTCCTAGCACGTTTTGTCCCAATAAGAATAACAAAAATAATTGATAGGAATATACAATATACTTTTTGGAAAAGATATTCCTTGAAAGGGTTTAGGGTACTGATTTTCTAATAAGGATATATATATATATATGTACGTATATTAGTAGTAGTAAAAAAAATCTATTCGTTTCGTAATAGTTCCTTGAGTAAAAACACTATCGATTAGAATAAATATGTCAATATCAGGATCAGTTGAGAAGATGACTGGAACACAGGATATTTCTCCCGAAGAAATGATTGTCTTGAATGAAATTAAAGAATTAAGTAAACAATATGGTAATGATGCTATTGTCTCATCGGTTAATCCTGATCAACTATTGAAGTTAGCTACTGCTTTATATAAACATGGTATTGCCTCTAATGATCTATTAGCTGGCGGAGACGATGACGATGACGATGACGATGACGATGACGATGAAGAAGAGCAAGAAGAAGATTACGAAGAAGAAGACGGTGAGGAAGATATGGAAGATGAACAAGAAGATAAGAAAGAATCTATTATGGACGAAAAATTCTATCAATTTGGCCATGAAGAAGAAGAAGATTTACTAGATGAGGAGGAGGAGGAAGATGAGGAGGAGGAGGAAGATGAGGAGGCGGAAGATGAAGAAAATAGATTGGGATTTGAACAATTTATTATTGGTAGTCCATTTGAAAATTCATTAAATATTTTAGATATTATTATTAAATCTGCAAAGAATGATAAATTAACAACTTTATTATTAAGTGACGCATATGACTTAGCAGGTAATAATCATTTAGAATTAGAAAATTTTGATGAAGCTATCCCATCATATGAGGAAGCATTAAATTTATTAGAAAAACATTATAAAGACGATATTACTAATGAAGATATAACAGAAGGTTTATTAAAATTATGTGAAGCTTTAAAATGGGCTCAAGATACAAAAAATTATGAAAAATATTTAAAGAAAACAATAAAACTAATTGAAACAAGAATAGATAAAAGAAAATCAAAAGATATTGAAAAGGATAGGGAAACATTAGTTGAATTAAAAGATGATCTTGAAGATATTAAAGAATCTCAAATGGATATTAGAGAAAGACATCCTGAATTTGATAGCGTATTGAAACGTGCATTAGGTCAATTATTAAGTCCGGATGAAATATCAGCAGAAGCAGGATCTGCTATTAATGATTTATCATCAATGATTAAGAAGAAGAAACCAAAACACAAATAATTAACAGTACATAATCACTACAAAAATAAATGTAACATAGAATAAATTGTCAACTAGTATGTAGTATGCCTTTTCTGCGTCCTTCCTATACATGTCATCCTGTTCCCTGCCCGCAGGCAAAACAACGAAAGAAAGAAAAAGAAGAAGTGGCGAAACACTGAAAGAAAGAAAGTCAAACAGACAATTCATTGCAGTGGAAGAAGAATATATCCTTAGGGGGAGATATTCCAAATTATTTCCAATTCGATACTTCAAACTCTTCTTTGAAGACATCTTTTATTCAGGGTTCTATTTTTCCTTGATTTCTAGTTCATTTTATCATTCTGTTATACTAGAAGGGTATATAACAGAGAAACGTTTTCAATTTATTTACCAAGGGACGAATATAAGTGATTTTTTCTTAAGTTTCTTATTGCAACCATATATTCTGAATTGTCTCACTTGGACTAATCGAAAGTTGTGATATCGTTTTCATATTATTACGTTTTTTAAGAAATACAATGACTGAAACAAAGAAAGAAAGTTCAGCCCCTAAGGAACTTAAGGGCACTATCAAAGATAGATTTATTTCATTGACTGAAAATTTACAATTTGCATGGTTTGCAGGACATGCTGTTGTCTTATTGTGTTCTTTCTTCTATTTATTCTCTTTTAATAGAATAATTTATAGAATTGCTTACTTAGGTGTTCTACATTCTTTTGGTATTATTGTATATCAACAATACTATCAAAATGTTAAGACTGCTGCTACTAGTAATAATAACGGTGGTGCATCTTCAAACGCTGGTACTTCATTCCCAAAACTTTCCCTTAATGTATTAATCAATGATGAAAACATTTTATATTTTGTTTTAGCTGCAATGTGGTTAATAACTCCAGTATTCTCCCTATCTTTGGTTCCATATTCTCTATTTTCTTTATTCCATGTATTGAAATATTTACAAAATATTCTTTTACCAATTGTATTTGGTATCTCTAAAGAAAACAACAGTAAAGTAGCCACTGTAGCTAAATTTACACATACTTATAATGAAAAATGTATGTATTGGGTTGGTACATCAGAGATTATTATTGTTGTCCTATTATTAGTCAGAGCCTTACTATGGTATCCAAGTTCATGGATTGTCTTATTAACTTTTATTCTATTTTTGAAGTTAAGATATGAAAACTCTAAGTATACTAAATCTGCATTTTCTCAATGTAGAGTTAGGTTAGATGGTATTATTAGTCATCCATCTATTCCACCTCCTGTGAAGAGTGCTTACAATACTGCCAAAGCTAAACTGATTGAACTTTCTCGTTATCAATTAACCAAACCAATTGAGGCTGAAAAGAAGACTACTTAAATAGAAAATATATCTTTCAGATTTTTATTTGCTACATCATTGTATAATTATATATACATATATAAATGTACTATATTTTTTTTAAAGAACTGTGAAAGGCTTCACTTCATTATTCAATAAAATAATTTCTATAAAGGGGTGCTCAGTTAAAGTACTCCGACTATATCTATACTTGAGTTATTTGGTTTCCCCTATACGCAATAATGAGGGCATCGGAAAAGCTTACTTCCTTGACATATATGTTATGTATTAAATGATATCGAATTAAAAATGTTGACAACATAAAATAAGATAAATAAAAATACTTAATGAATATTAAAAAGAGGCAAAAAAAATGCATTCTCTATGGATTATTGGTTTCAACTGAGAAGAAGACAGAAAAGAACATCACAAATAAAATAATAATAAGGAAATTATGAATTTCATAATTTGAAGAAAAACTTCCATTGATTAAATGGATGGTATCGAATTTAAAAACAGATCACCACAACCGGAATCTAATGTTACATAGCGATTGGAATATAAAAACAAAAAATTCAAAAAAAAGAGAAAACTTAAATTAATAGTCTAAATACTCTTTTTCCCTTGGTGGTTGGGGTGGAATGTATGGAGTAAATCCATTAGGAGAAGCTGTTCCAGAGGTATTAGCCTTCATGTTCATTTGAAAATTCATTGGAACTAATGGACCGTCAGACATTGGCATCCCTTGTGGAGGTAGTGGATAATACATCATATATGGTGGAGTCTGTATTGCACCTTGTGAATTTTGGTTTCCACTCATATGATATGGTAACGGAGGATAGTAATAGTGCTGGAACATATACGGATTAACTGGATCATTGTATTCAATACTGTCATTACTTCCATTTCTACTCTTGGTCAATCCCATCCTTTCAATGCGATTCTTGTAATCATTTACCATACTACCAGCAGAAGAATTGTTATATGTTGTGGTTGAATTAACAGCAGCATGTGTACCTTCTCCTTTATCCAATGAGTCTGAAACATCGGATGCAATTTCGGTCATAGTATCAGCAGTCCGTACTGTATTATCAGGTTCTTGTTTCTTTATTTCGGATCTCATACTTCTAATAGTATTCGTACTATGTTCATTATTTAATGATTCTCTTCTTGGTGCAATCCAATTATCAGGCATTGAACCTCTTCTATAATTATGAGGTAAGGATCCATTAATATAAGGATAAATATTTCCGTCAAAATTTGGAACACCATTATGAGGTATATTTGGTGGCATACAATGTAAGTATGGTAATGAACCATTTGGAGATGTGTTTCCTGCAACCATATTTGGATTTCCGTAACTCATAACGGGGTTGATGTCACTAGAATGTCTTCTATACATGCTAATTGGTGGTGGGGCTAGATTTAATTGAGGGCCACTAAAATAATTGGATCTGTGATTATTCCCAATATAATTACTATTTCTTCTGAATACACGTTTACCATGGTAACCACCAAGTTCTTTATATTGGACATGAATTGTCTTGTCCAAGAAAGTTGAGTGATTCTCCTTCTCCAAAGCAGCAGCAGCAGCTTTTTCTGTCTCGAATTGAATGAAAGTAAATACATTTGTTGGTTTATGAATTAAATTAACATCCACAATGGTACCATACTTTGCGAAATGTTCTTTAATATTTTCACTTGTAGTTTCTTTTGGAAGTTGACCAACAAATATTGATTTCTTGTCAATGGTTATATTGCTATTCTGGTTATCAATTGAATTAGAGTATGAATCATAGATTTCATCTTTCTTTGAGAATAATCTATTATTATTATTACCATTCCCATCAGATATTTCTTGATCACTATTGTCTTCTGATTTGAATAACATATTAAATCTTCTTGGTACATTAACATTTTGTGCCCATTGAACAGTCCAATGAGCATCCATTTTCAAATTTGCAAACGCTCTTATGGCATCATCTCTGTATACAAATCTAATAAACCATGAATTTGAAATAGTAACAGGATAAGAATATCTTTGGGAAAATTGGTTTTTATCTTTATTTGGAACTAATTGTTCTAATTTCCCAAAAGAGCCACAAAGTTGTTTAATATCGATATAAGAAACAGGATTGGCATTGGTAATAAATAAAGTACGATTAACTCTCGCTGGTTCACAACGAATCACCCTACCATCTAAAATAGTACCATGGGCACTTTCTAAGGCCTTTGCTGCATCATGGTCATTATTATATTGTACAAATGCATATGGTCTATTTTCTTGATCACGTAATACCTTGACACCATTTAATTCTCCAAATTCCTTAAATTTATTCTTAACTGATAAACATAATTTATCATCGGATAAACTTGCAGTTAAACTAGCAACAAAGATACAGGATGATGGTAGTCCACGTCCATTTTCTGGAATTGAATGATTTTCTAAATTATCGGTAGATGATGAAATTGATAAAGCTTTCTTTTTATCATCATCAAGTTCATTGAATTTCTCTTTGTTTGAATCCTTTGAATTATTATTATCAGCATTATCATTGTTATTTTCTGTTTCATTTGAATCTGATCTATCATCTGAATCATCTGAATCATTATTAAATTCAAGTGATGATACATCACTATATGAAGTTTCGATAACACGTTGTTTCATTGAAAGGTCTTCTTCACTAATTTTAAAATTTGAGGTACTATCAAATGAGATAGATCTTGTTAACTTAAGAGATCCCATATATTAAAAAAAAGATTAAGATACCAAAATTAACAATTAAAATAAAAATTAAAATAGTAATAACAGTAATCTGTAATTAATGTGAACTACAATAATATTCCAGATATTTGTAGATGTCACTAATTTTGAAAAATAAAATAGGACTTGAAAAAAAGCTATTTTTTGTTTGTTTAATTGTTTAAAGAAAAACAAAAAAATAAAGAAATGTAATTTTTAAGTAGGAAATAAATGGGGAAGTTTAAACTAGCTGTAATAATTTTTAATTAGATTATAATTTTTCTCGAGAAAATGAAAATATAAAAAGCTCCTTTATCTGTATTTATTAATTAATTAAATGAAAAAAAAATAATAGTAATAATGAAAAATTAGTAGTGCGCTAGATAATATTCTGTTGATAATAGAAAGAAGAAGAATAAAATTAATAATATTAGTATTAAATTGGGGATATCTAATGTTTATCTAATAGAATTAATATAAATGAAAATAAATTTAAATAAAAAATATAATAAACTAAATTGGAAGTTCCTAAGAGAAGAAAAAATAAAAAAATGAATAAAAGTGAAGTTCAATAACTGGAAGGGAAAACAGAAAGAAAGGAATAAATTTTTATTAAAAAAAAAATATGCAAAACCCCATTGGTATTTATACCCCATGTTGAAGCCGATCATGACTCTACAACTAATTCTACTGCATCATGCCTTCTGACAGTAGCATCGCTGCTGTCATAGCAAAAAGAATGTATCTTCACTACAGAGAAAAGACCAAAAAATAAACATTAAGGAAAATGCAACACCTATAAATTCGGCGGCTAATTTTTTTTGCCTAATTTGGAAAGGATTGAAAGAATCAAAGATCAAAAAAAAAAAA